ACGATTTAGCCACAAAGTCATTTGAGAACCTTCAGCATTGCTCGGATTTTTTATTGATAGTTTTACTTTTACGAGGAGCAAATACAGAACATTATGCGCTCTTTGGTTTAAAAGTTAGAAAGTGAACACAGCATAAAAACTTCTCGAAATTGTCGATTTTTATAGCCTTAGATTTAAAATAGTCATATAAAATAAATTTGAAAAAAAAAATGAAACGTGGTATCTGAAACGACGAATGTCTTCCTAATAAATATAAATGGTTTGCTAGAATAAATAATTTGTTAACTGTCGTTTAAACCTCAGTTTCGCATTGATTGAATCGCCTATTCGAATCAAAAAATCCAGTTTTTGCTACTGATTAGATTCTAGACAATAGTCCGAATTGATTAATGGCCGACTTGATGAGCCGACAATCCTGGCGTTCAAAAATGAGCTTTTAATCCATTCGAAAAAAGAAACCATTATCCTTTTTAATTTTCGCAAATCATTTCTTGGCAATAAACCAATATTCAGAAATTTTGCTTATTGATTATGGCTATTTTGGCTATTATTTATAGAAAAAACAAAAAATGGATGACTTTGTTTTGCTCATTGTATTGTTTCTACATAAAGGTGACTGTCCAAATAAGAGCATTAAATGATAGAATTAGAATAAATCAGAAAATTAGGTCTTCTTAATCCCCTAACCTACATATCTGTTCGATCTGTTCAAATTTGTCTTTAAATTCACAAAAGTCTATATTGTCACAAAGCTTATCTTATTTTGCGGCTGGTGTTCTATTTGAATGATTATGTTTAACCAAAAATAACGACCACGAACAGCGACGACCTTGACATAGATTTTTTCTTATTCATGGCCTATTCAGGGTCAGTTAAGAGTACACTTGAATGTGATCAAGAAACCGGAAAATATTTGAAAATTTTTATGTTCGCCGATAAAGCGATTTATTTCTCCCCAGTTCAAAACTACTAAGAGATATAACTGTTCCAGGATATAACCGTTTTAAACCCAAAAAGTTAAAGCAAATTATTTATTTTATAAATAATATATATATATATATATATAAATTGTATTTTCAAAATAATTTATTTGAAAGTGCATTTAATGTAAAGAAAAATGAATCTCTTCTTACCATGCCTGTGGCTTTTCCTAATTTAAGGCAAAAATTTTGAGAATTTACATCTGAGACGTTTTTTTATTTATAGTAGATTCAGGCATATTTTATATTCAGTATATTTGACAAAAATTTTTAGAGAGCTTACAAAATACACTGTACAAATAAATTAACGGAATAAATTGGCTGTTTTTTGTACTTTTTAGTGAAATATAAAATTTGCAGGCAAAATCTGTTTAAATTTTGGCGTAAAAATTTTAGTGCAAGCAAAAATAGATTTTATATAGATATTAAATATTATTAATTTCGGCCGATCTAGTGCCAGAGCAACTAATTCAAGGGAATGCTTTTCAGTTTAGATGCAGGAAACATCAAAATACTAATAACTAAGAAAAGTGTAATTATTTAGCAATAAAATTCGGATTAGATGCGAAAAATGACTGGAAGATAAAAAATATTATTATCGTTAGTACAACACCCATTGCTTTTATGAACTAAACTGTGCTTGGCAGATTGGGCTATCATTCAACTGGTCAAAATGGCTCTGGAATACGGACAATTCTTTCATGGGTTCAAGACGATTTGCTTCATATTTAGTGCAAGCTCTTCTTCCAAAGTCCTTTCATAAGTTAAAAAAAAGAATGGCCGATTCTTTGTCAAAGTTTGTATCATAGTTTATAGCCAAGATTGATGAAAATTTTCCTTGTATGAAATTTTTCAGGTTTTTCTGGCTTTATCATGAATTATTTTCGATAAAAAATCGAGCTGGACCGGTTGTTCTGCAATAATTGTTACAATAATGTACAATGGTCTTTTCGAATCTAGCGGTTTAAAATCTGAATCTGAAAAATTTAATTAAAATTTTAGCATATTCAATGAGCCAATGTTATACCTAAAAACGCAATATTTTAAGCAGTTTTTTGTAGTAAAAATGAGATCTGCCGAAGATAATACGGAATCGACTAAAAATCCTGCAGTTAGCAATATTCAATTTTAAATTTTTTTTATAAAAATCAATGCAAAATAATGAAAATAATAAAAGTGAATTTAAGTATAGAGAATTGTTCACCTTGGTACATCAAAATTGTTTAATTTGCTTTTAATGTTCCGAATCATTATCTTGGTTCTCCGAAATTTTCACTTTTTCTCAAACTACTCTCATTTTAATCTTTCAGTATGCTTCTAACAAGTAATTCCTATCAATATTATTGTTTATTGATATCGTTTGGGTTGCTTTCTTTTAAAGTATATACCATTTAATTTGCATAAGATTTTAAAATAGTATATCATCTAGAAAAGAACAAATATGAGATAGAACAAATAAGGATGGTTTATTTCGAGCATTTATTATATGATTTTTCTCTAACTCATGATGAAGATGTTTTTTTTTGACAGTATGATGGAATTTCAAAGGTACTGTAAAACTTTTGCTAGATTTCGATCGAGTATTTCAAAAGAAAGAAGATGCTTAATTTTCTAAATGCGCGAAAGCGAGCTAGTAATATGGCGTTAAACTTTATGAAATTATATGAAAATATATAATAATTGCAACTGCAACTCATAAGCAAATTTGAAAACCGGTTTTAAGTTTCCATTTTCAGTGCTTTTTTCATCAACATTCAGTTTGCATAGAGATCTGAGACCAGATAATTTACATTTGAATGAGAACGGAACTTCGAAATTAATAGATTTCAATTTACTTAACGATTTGTTAAAAGTTAGAGCACCAAAAACTAAGATTCGAAGGATCTGTCATTAGTACATTAAATTTTTTCCTAATGTTCTTGCATCAATCTTCTTCAAATACCACTTACACTAACAATACCATCATCAGAGCCTTTATTAGTTTAGAGCGCGTTCTTCGTCGCCCACTGAAGGAGTTGATACATATTTCGTTACTTGCTAAACCCTGTGATGGTGGCATCAAAAGAGAGATGGGCCAACCAAGACCTGGACTGACACGGTCAAGAAAAATTTTGAACATATGTGGACAGGTGGACCATCTTCATCTTCCTGTAAACAACTCCTGTATCTTCCTGTAAACAACTCCTTATGTAGATATTAACAGCCAATGGAGCGAGTCAAACCAGAAATGGTATAAGAGAAGGCAGTTAGGGAAGAAATCAAGGCCTGGACTGATAGAGCCAGGAAAGATTTTGAACATGTAGAAGGACCAGCGATATATGGACATAGACGATGGAAAAAGAAGTGGCTTTTATTATTGTCAACTATGACATCAGATCGCGGAGCTTGGAAACGTCTTACCCTTGCAGCCAGTGAAGCCAGCCTAACCAGTAATTATAAGAATTCTTAGAAGAAGAAGAATGTCTTTAGTACTTCCATGATGTTTCATTATTTTTATTGATCAGGATGTAATAACATCATTTTTTCCAAATAAAAATTAAATAATCATTTCCAGGAATTGGACTTAAGGAGTTATAAAATAGCAGATAACAAATACACTTGAAAAACACTCCGACTAAGGCTTCCGATGTTTTTGCACTGGTGCCTTACTGATTGATCACAAATTAAGATCACCGAGTAATGAGAAATGAGAAACAACTAAGAAACACTGTCACAATTACCTGTAAAAATTGCTTTTTGGAAAAGGAAAATGAATGAATGTGAAATAAATAAGGTGCAATAAAACCACCTTATTCCCTTTGATAAAATATTTTTGAATTTGCATGTTGCTGTTTCGTACACCATGCGTGAAGGACAAGAAATATCAGCATATAGATTACAACTACTTCAGTGGTATTTTGGTTCAAAGCTTTGTAAAAATTTGAAAAATTTTAAAGATTGGTTTGCAAATGAGAACGAATAGAACCATTCGTTTACTTTTTCTTTTTGCTTCCTTTTGCTTCATAACTGTACTATATACTATTTTTCATGGTCGCATTATTAAAAAGCAATTTGCAGTTGAATAAATGATTCTTTTTCAGATGTCGACGCTACGTAATTTGATATGTTGATATCTCAAAAAAGATTTAGTAAAAAGACCAACTACTGAAGAACTTGTCAGTATTCTTAGTTTAGTTTTTTATATCACTGAATGCGAACAATTATTCACCAATAGAAATGTACGTTTCTCAGTTTTTTCAATGTTTTTATTATTTCAGCTCTCAAGTTTCTATTTGTCGTGCTTAGTTTTATACCGGAATGGATCTTCATGTACTTGGCATATTTATAATTGTTGTAGAATGATTTCTTGTTTAATATAAATTTCTTCCAGAATTTTTTCAAATTCAGGTATTCACAAAAATTTTCACTTTCATGAGTATCTGACCTGCTAAATGATGCATTTTCAGAAGTGGAAATTCAAGCTATTCTAACAAAAATTGGTATTGGTATTGGTATCGTGGAAGGAATTTTTGATCTATTTTTGACCATTTAAATTCCATTAGGTGAAATTCCAACGTATACTGGACTTCTTAGATTTTCATCACATCTAAAAGCAGATTTGAAAGATTTGCGCAGTATTTTCACTTTTGGCGATTTTGGAGAAATTTGTTTGCTTATTAGGTATTTTTCTATAATAATGTAAAGTTTTCAATTTTGGATTTAGTTAAATGCTGCTAGAGGCAGATAAATATCAATTTTAATCCACCTTCACCAATGCATTAATTTTATTTAATTCTTTTTCTTGATAGAATTCTTAATTCTTTGGTTGGTGCTATGATAAGAAATTTTCGTTAGGTGGCGCTTGGAGAATAGAAGCAGAAGTAATTCATCAACATCACTTAGCAAAAAATTCTGTTTTGTTTATTATTCCTTTTTCTAAATCATTTTTATATTTATTAAAAATTTTCAATTTTTCGCTCTGCATTTGTTTCACTGGTTCTATAATTTTTATTTAGTAATTTATATATCCATTTTGTGAAAATGTTTTTGATGAAATATGAAATTGCAACCAACTATTACGATTATTTAGCTGACGATAGCCAGAGAGAATATGGGATTGCTGGTGAACTGATGAACACGTTTAATAGCAGTCCAGTTTCATCAAAAAAGAAAAGGAGCTCAAGGTAGGTACTTTCGGTGGGAATGGAAGGCTTTTATATATTTCTACTCGCTTTACTCATTCACGTAATTGAAATTCTTCTACTGGTCAGTTATTCAAGAATTAATCAACTTTTGTTGCTAGCATACTGAGCTAAAATAAGCAATTAAATGACGACAAATTCAGCACTGTTTTAGGTCTTGTAGATTGTTATAAAGTTATAATAAGTCTGCAAAAACTGGCAAACTGGTAAACAAGAAAATGATCTGAGACAAAGCATTCTACCATTCGACAATGATGGCACTACAATATTTTAAAGACATTCCGGGTGATGCTGGCGATCACCTGTACTTCTATCGCCAGGGCATTCCCTGGCATATTTGTCCAGTGCGGCAAGTCAGTGGAACGAGTTTAACCAGTAATGGTGAAGATTCTTAGAAAAAAAATTTTAAATACATTAGAAGATATCCAAATTACACCGTATAGTCGTCGGTTCAATCTTCCAAACCCTACTCTGAAGATGGAAAAAAAGATTTCGGAAAAATTTGATTGAAAAATTGGCACTGAACCCACAATTATGTTTTTTTTGAAACGGCGTGTCTGTTCATTCAACCGCTGCTTATTTGATTCTCAAATTTTCTACTTATTCACCTAAAAATTTTTCTCAGGAAATTTCAACGCAGTCTTTCATTAATAGTATCAAAAGAGGAACTGCATGACTACACTCAGTCTATGAAATCCAGTTGGTCTATGGGAGCTGCGATACACGAGTCAAAATCTGGAACCAATGTACTGTTTTGTTTGTTATGAAGTTATTATTTCTTTATGCAATTTTAGCATTTCTGCTATCGATTTTGGGTGTAGAAAGGATTATATGATAACCATATTGCATCAATTTTTTATATCTAATTTTGAGGTATGAAACATCTCAACTCACGCCTAATTATAATTGCATGTTTTAGAGCAAATCTCAGAATTACGAAGAAGTTATGGTAGTTGTTAAGAATGATGACAAAGAAAACATACCTCTTTCAGTGAATCAAAAACAGCATTTTTTAAATGAAAAGCAGCAGCCAAGTAATTTCGTCATGTTAGTTTAGTTTCGTTATTTTTTGGTGCTAAAATTCAGGACATCATCAGGAAGATATTTCGAATAAATTTACTTATAATATCGGTGCAAAGTTTTTTCTTAGACCCATTCAAAGAAAATCACCTCAGCAACTTCACGATTTGGTAAATGAAGACATAGATGTCACAATCACTCCTCAAAAGGAGTTGCTATGCTTAGCGGAACCAGGAATAGCAGGATGTGCATTGGCAAATTTTGGAGGAAGCGATGCAAATAAGGAACTAAAAATAGCCATTTCGCCAACAAGAAAAAGAAAAAAATCGGTTCTCTTCCAATAAATGAATAATTTTTCCTTTGAATGAACTTTTTAAAGAATTTTTTTATAACTTTCGTTTTCATTAGCTTCTCTTATTTCATTTCTGCTAGTTTAAATAGGAAATTATCATAATGGATGCCAAACAAGCCACCATTTTTATGGAATATTTAGTCAAAACAGCTATTTATTTTGCAGAATTTAAAATTTTTTCTTGCATTTGCATTTTTTTCGAAATTTTTATTAGAATTATGTACAGATCTTATCAATTTTTTCTAATAATTTTTCCATTTTAAAGTATGACATTGTGGATTTATCGCAAAATTTAATCGAATTAGATGTTGAAGAAAATAAAGGACTAAAAAGAAACAATACTTCGACATGCTTCGCTGATTTTCGCGAATACAGTGAAACGAATCCGTCGGTTAATTTTTTTTCGCTACGGTTGTTTTATCTAATATTACTGTAAGTGCAACTTTGTTAGCGATTGCAAATAATTGCACGATTCGCTTGCAAATTTCCGCAAGCACATAAATGAATTGCCTAATTTCCCAATTTTCTAGCACTCCGACACGAATTGTCCAACTCTTTTTAAGTTGCTTCTTTTTCATATGTTGCACTTTTATTTTAAATTATTGATGATTAATTATTTATTGTTTATAGCATCAAAAATATTCGCTAATGAAAAAATTTCTGGTTTAAAATTTTAAAAAAAATTTGAAAAAAATTTTAAAGTTAAGAAAATTTTTAAAAAAGCTTAAAATAATTCCGCTGATGATACATGGAAATTTCTTGCAAATATCTTCGCAGAAAAACATTTCTCCGTAAATTTGTAAAATAAAATTATTAATTTGTAAAAATAGCAGCTAATTGAGAAAAATATTTGATTTGTGGAGGACATCCACTATAAATTCATAAATAAGATCAAACATGATTTTTTTTTATAGGTTTCCTATTATTCGGAATCTTTCTTTCCTCATATAAATGGTTTTCAAGGCATTAATGTCGATAAACTTTGTCAGTTAATGGAATCTGTAAAATCAAAAGATTGTATTTTAGTGGATTGTAGATATCCATATGAATATAATGGTGGCCATATAAAAGTGAGCATTCTTATTCTTATCAAGCAACAAGGAAAAGCTCGTCTTTCAAAAAACTCTATGGTCAAAGGAAAGGCTAACCGGAAAGATATCAAGATATCTTTATTTAAGATATCTTTATTTTATTTGTTTAGGGCTCGGTTAACATTTACGATCCGACAACCGTACAGGAATTCTTTTTTCCAGAATGCCCAAATCGTTTCATGGATATATCATCCAAATTTCCAATACTCTACTGTGAACACTCCAAAATCAGAAGTCCGCGAATGTGAGTTAAATTTGCGTAATTTTTAGTAAATGGAGCAATAAAATTTAGAAATCAAGTCTATAATCTAACAGAAAATCATATAATCCTTATAAAAAAGCGAAGTAAATACGAGAACTTTATTTAGAGACAAGGTGCTTGAGTGGTATATTGCTTTGAATAAAGTCAAGCTATCTTACAAAGAGTTACTGACGAGAATAAACCAATCATTGACAGAGAATGATAGGGTGGGAATATAATTGTATTTCTGCTCCAAAGAGCCTCCCAGGAGAAGCAACTCATCCTAATAGAAATGTTTTCCATGCTAGAATTTGCCAATTTCTCTGTAATATTATTCTATATTGCAAACCCGATAATCTTTGCATTTATAAAACATGTTTTAATCTTGAAATCACCATTCGATCCCATCTCATTTAAATTTATTTTACTTATTTCAAAAAAAGAACAACTTATCTTGAATAATGCACCTCTTATCAATAAAATAACATAGCTATAACTAAATAACTTAGATTGATTTTAATAATTCATTAAATTAAAAACGTTTTTAGCGCAATGAAAATCCGATATTTGGATCGATTACTTTCAAAGAAACACGATGAACTCGTTTATAGTGAAATTGGTCTATTACAGGAAGGATATCGAGCGTTTTTTAAATATAAAAAGGTGTTTCGATTTTTCGATTTTTGTTTGTTTCAGAAAATTTTGAAAGATCAAAATTTATCGATGAATGGGTAAATAGTTAAATTGTCACCGAAAATTTATAAAATCGGATAGTATCGAAATACGAGAAGAATGGCGAATGGTGTGTTGCTTCGACCAAGTTGAAGCATCATGAGTCCATTCTTTTGTCTTGTTAAAATCGAAATTCGGACGATATTGGGTACAAGCCTTTACTAGTATCTCTAAGTGAGCCCATGATCTCATACTGTTGGTCAGTGGAACACCAAATTAGAAATAAGTACTAAAAGAAGTGCAAAAATATGCTGATAAAGAGTTTTCTCTTTGATGTATTGTCGCAGAAGAAATATAATTTTCAGCAATACTGTGAACCTCAAGGATATGTTCCAATGTCTGGCAAGAAGAGCTTTTCTGATTTTCCGATAATGCCTATAACTCATCTTTTACGCAATATGAACTGCAAATGTTTTCCGGATAATGAGAAGCATGAATTATCTGAACATCCTCTTGACTGCCCGAGAAGAAGGCAATTACGTAGAAGTAGAACGGCCCCCACAGAAACGGCTTCGAATCCTTTTTTGTCATTGAAAACTCCACCACAGAAACGAGCCATGACTGATTTATTCCATTAAATATTATATGCAGTGCTTTTAAAAAAGTTAGATCGTTATAACTCTGCAATTTATTTTTAGTTAAAAGAATTAGCATCAAACTAAAACTAATCCAAATTCAATCAGAGGTCGAAGTTTTTACTGACATAAAAGTGACAAATCATTCAACTTATTATCATCATAGGATAGGAGTTTCTAAAAAATTAGGGAATCATAAATATTTGTATGCAAATATTGTTCTCTGTACTATATAGTTTGAATGTATATGTATCCTTTTACTATTACATTGTTATTTGCTTATTTAACGCATTTGAATTCAAAAAGAATCGTTGTTCGCCTTTGTGCAACAAACGATAGCTGCATTCTGGCTGTCATATATGCGCAAATATCATTTTTATTCATATTTGGAAGCCTTCAGTGGATTATGCAAGTTATCTGCGAAAATCTTTCGTTAGATAAAAGCAATGCATAAAGACTACGAATGAGTTAAAGGCTGTCACCAGCTTTGAAGTCCTTATGGCCGCTAATTGCAATTGCAATTTTTTATCCGTTTTATCCATTTATTCGTAAATTTTAAGCCATCGTTAATCTAAAAATCTTGTCATTTTTTTTGTTCTTAATATTATAGAAAATTTTCTCATCGTTGTCTTTAAAAAATTCTTAAAAAATTATTTCAGTTGGGTATTGGATGTTTCTTCCTTTACATGAATTAATTGTCCTTTGATTAGCTTCTAAAAAAATTTCATCTAAATGTTCGTTTTTTAGCGAATAGCGAAAAATTTTACTTACAATCATTAATTTTTCAATAAAACAAACTAAGTTTTATCAATTAAAAATATATTTTTTATAGCGAGAATAAATAGTGTTAATTTAATTAATTTTTGCTATAAGTATTGCTATACTTACGGCGTCATAAAAAAAAATTTCGCGACATTTTACAATTTTTTCCATAAGCTGCATCCAATAATTTAAATAGCTTTTTTTTCTTCTAACAGCTGTCACTGGTTAGGCTGTCTTCGCTGGCTACAACAGTAAGACGTCTCCAAGCTGCTCTGTCTGACGTCATCGCTAACAATAGCAGCCATTTCTTTTGCCATCATCTAAGTCCATATATCGCTGGTCCTCCTGTACGTTCAAAATCTTTCCTGATTGCATCACTCCAGATCTTGACTGGCCCTCCTCGCCTTTGACGCCAACCATCACGGGGTTTAGCAAATAATGAAACATGCGCCAACTCTTGTAGTGGACGACGGAGAATGTGCCCTAGCCAGCGAAGGCTACGCTCGTGATAACATTATTAATACAGGTGCTATTTGAGCAAAGGTGGATATAATCATATGCGATTTTATCCGCTCGACGGATCCGTAAAATGTATCTTAGATTATAAGTGATCAAAGGCTGATAGCTTAATATTTTCCACTCTAATTGGCTATATTTCGCAGCCATATAGCAAGATCGAGCGAATTGCAACTATATGGGCGCGAATTTTCGTCTTTATGGTGATTTTGCAGCGGTTTCATGAAGGTTTCATCAACCGTATATTTCCAGCTGTCGTTATCTGGATTGCAATTTCATTCTTTGCATGGCCATTTAGGATTAGAGTGGATCCAAGATAAATTTAAATTTAAAATGGGCCAATGAAGTTGGGCACTTCCTTAACCGGTAATGAACTGATAAAAATAGGTACTTTACCATATTCTTGCAAGAAAACTTTCGTTTTGTTTACATTGATCCTGAGTCCAATTTTCGTTGCAGTTGTTGACACAATTTTTAATATTTACATTTCATTATTTATTTATTTATTGAAAACCAGCCAAGCACATGGCGACAAACGCCATGTGCTTGTATTAATAACAATATGTAAAATAACAAATAATAATTAATGATAAAAAAAAGAAAAAATATATGATAAAGGTTGACAATTTAAAGAGGAAATAAAAATGAAATTAGAAAATAATATAACAGTACAAATAACTGTATTATATACAATCGGATGGTAAAAATCGAGATTTCACACTTCCTGCATGATATGAACTTTTAAATAACATCATAAATGTCATTCTTCAATTTTTTTTATAAAAAGATAGCTAAGGATGACACACTATCGTTATATCGTTCGGTAATTTATTCCAGTAATTAATAGTACGAATAAAGAAGTCATGAGTTCTTAGTTTAATTTTATACAAGTAAAGTTTTTAGTAATTTTAGTTCTCGTTCAATTCAAATTTATCCTAAAATTATAATAAATTCTTGAACAATCTAGTTTAACATAATATAGCCATATATAATCTTGTAAGTATAAATTAAATCTTGTTTAATTCGACGAATTGAAAGGGAATCTAGGTTGTATTGTAGAATTTTTCTTTTATAATTAAAAGTGCTATTAGGAGAGAGGCATCGTGTAAAATATTTTTGGAGTCTTTCAATTATTTTACTTGATTTACGATATCTCGGGAGTAACATGTACTATAGACAAGAAGTGGCCGAACGAACGCTTTGTACATTTTGATAAGAAAACCTACAATTCTGTTCTTAAACAAACGAAAAACAAAATTTAGTATCTTCGAGGATTTCTTTACCATGGTTCTGTAGATAAGATTAAAATCAAGGTTTTCATCCATGATTATGCCAGGATCTGAAATATGATAAAAAAATTATCTGATTATATTGCCATTAATAAAAAGATTAGAAAGATCGAATCCTTCCAAATTTATATGTAAAACGTTGTACTTTTGAAATGAAAGGGTGATTTGCCTGTTATGCAGCCAATTAGCAATTGAAATGAGGCTATCCTGTAGTGAAGACAAGTTATCCGATTCTACTATGAGAATAATAAATTTTACAATCATCAGCCTGAAGATAAATGGTAGTGTCAAAAACCATTTTGGTGATATCATTAATATATAATAAAAAAAGCAATGACGCAATACAACTATTTTGAGGAATGCCTGATTTATCAGGTGACATGTCAGAAAGAATATTGTTGACACATACAGCCTGATGACGATCTTTTATGTAGTCTGACACTCAGATATACAGGTCCCTTGTAATGCCATAACTATTATGAGTGATCAACAAAGTGCTATGGGAAGCAGTATTAAAAGCTTTGGCCAAATCTAGGTACACAACTGATACTGTTTGAAAAACTTCCATTGCCAATTGATGCTGACCAATGGAAAAGATTTGCCGATATTTATAAAGAAGTTGATTTTTTCTTACAAAAACCATGCTGATAGGTGGATATTAAATTATTGGCATCAAGATAAGCAAACAATTTGTTGCAAATCAACGTTTCCAGTACTTTGCCAACAACGCATGTTAGGCTAATAGACCTGTAATTAAAAGGATCACATGTGCTTCCTTTTTTATGAGTGGGAATTATGTGAGATAATTTCCAAATTCTGGGATTTGGGCCAAACTTCATAATATCCTTATAAATTAGAAATAAGCAAAGAGAGGCTCAGGGAGACTTCACATTTTTTATAAATTATTTGTCCGAAGACTATCTTTTCTCGGAGTCTTATTGGCTTTAAGCTTATGGATAACAGAGATTATTTCTCCTACTGTTGGCGATTTGCAACTGCAAACATATGTTGTGGCAAACGTATCAGCTATGTCAACAGATGGTGCATCATGGTTAAGTTTGGCCTCAAAGAATTCTTTCCATCTTATGAGGCGGTCCTTAATATTCTTGATCGGCACACCATTGCTGTCCCCTACCCCTTACCATTTCACTGATCGTTTCCCAATCATAATTGCTTTGAAGAAAGTGGAATAGTTTCCTATTATCGCCTAACCGAGCCGCCGTCTCCATTCTCAAGGCCATATCGTTCCAACAGCGATTTCTGTCTCGCCGTGCTGCTGTCATTGTAATTCTTCGAAGCACCAGATAATCAGGATCTGATCTCCTGACATTCTAGCTTCGGTAGCTTTTTCAGACAGTTGGAAAGTTTCTTCCGGCACCCAAATAGCGCATTTCCTATTAGTATATCCTAGTGTGGAAGTGACTGACTTTTGTAAGCATGTTAGCTGGAAGCAGTATTCATCTGCTGTTCCAGAGATGTCACTGACATTCATTTCACTGAGGTGTTTCTTTAATACGGTTTGAAATGCGCTTATTGTCTCCGGATCTTTTAATTTGAGATAATTAAAAGATCTTGTGATACATTCTTACAACTTAGTTTTGCATCAAACCATAGCATGGTCTAATCCATGACGGTTACCAGTTTCGATAAGAACGACTATCAAGTACATAACTCTTCCAGCGGTGATTGACCAATATATAGTCAATCTGATTGGAATATTGGTTATCCGGAGAATTCCACGCGACTAAATGTCTAGATAAAGAAGGGGTTCTCTGTTGTTGCATTGAACCCCGAATGCCATATTTACCAATTACCGAATTCATCGTAACGGCAGCATGACTTACGAGCGCGATTATGACCATGTTATGTTTCGGTTGAGACTTTGTCAGTTGAAGCTCCGCATAGAATTTATCTTTATCTTTATGGCAGTCATTTGCCGACAGAGTTGGAGCATAGACACTGATGACCGAGATGTTGAACTTACCTTTAAAGTGGACATAGGTCGTACGATCATTTCCCATTCAATCAAAGTGGAATGGATCTTTTCAGACATGATAATCGTTACTATTTCGCTCCGAGCTATCCGAAGTAATCCGAAGTAACACAGTGATATAACCAATATCTTTGCTGGGAACTAGGTTTAATAATTATTTGAGAGTCGACATGAAGAAGACGAACCTCCGAAAAATAAGCCATATCTATGCGGTATTTAGAAACGATTTGGGCATTGTTCGCTTGGCTTGCGACGTCCATAAGCGTTCTGGCGTTCCAAGCATCTCGCCCCGCTAACAAAGCGTTGATAAATAGGTTCTCGTTTTTCTTGAGGGATTCTGAGTAATTATCCCTATCCGCGAGCATATCCTATGCTCAAGCCTTGGAATTACTTTATTATTATCATTGTTATTATTATTAATTATTATACTCAAATCTTATATTTATTGTATGTAACACTGGGTTAGAAGTCTTAATTGCTTCGGAAAACGCGCCACGTCAAAGGGACCACATAGATAGCTTATAGCAAATGAAACGATTATTTACTACAAATTTAATTCATATTTTTTGTCAACATTTTTGAATACCATCAAATTAAATATTAAATAGCAAATTGTTGGGATTCAAGGATTTAACTTTTGCCCTTCCCGAGAGACAAGGATAAACCCGTAATTAGAAAGTGTTGACAAACTATCTATACCTCAAATGAATCCTTGGCAAAAATTTCTAATTTTACTAACCCGTGGATTGAACTTAAGAAAAAATGGTGAGTATTAACCACTGTTTACTGTTAAATATTAAAGCGGCTTTTTTAATATTTATATTTTAATATTTAATAAAATAACAGCTTTTATTTTCTTTTCGTTATCGGTCACAGAAGATTTATTTCTTCGAAAATAGCGTTATTTTTCGAAATTGTATGTTATTAGTCGATTAATTCCGAAGGCGGTATTCGATTGATTTTCACTAAATACTTTATTTAAAAATAATGAATGTACATTTTCCATAAAATCGGTTCCGTGTTGCATTGGCAAGTTATATATATATGTATATTAATAAATATTTCTTAAATTTCTTTGAATTGTCTTTTTTTTTGATTAATTTTCGAGATTCTGGAATCTTTTCCTGCATTTTATGATTTCAGAGGTTTCAATCCGAGACGATTTTCGCGGAAGTTTTTCTCTCCAACTTACATAGATTTTCAAAAATTGCAGTTAGTTTAATAGCCGTTAAAATGCATTAAAAACAAATTTCGATTCAGTCTGAAATATAAAATCTTATAATTCATTTTTTTTCGAAAATTTTCAAGAGTTCAGCATTACTGGTTGAACTCACTCCACTGGCTTGTCACACCGGACAATGCCAGGGCGATAGAAGCACAAGTAAGTCTCCATCCGCCATTAGAATTTATTAAGGAAACATTAATTATAACAATAGATTTCAGCAGAAGAACTCAAGCATTAGAATCTGTCGATAAAGCCAAATGATCATATGGAGAAAAAAGATGGCTGGAGGAGCCCTCTATTTTATCAGTTTTATAATAGACAGGCAACATTTTACTTGTGAAAAATCATACTTGTACTTATTTGAAAAAAATATTCCAAATAATAACTCGGCATATTTATAGATTGATCAAATCAGTGGAACGGTGATTGGTCCTGAAAATGATGATTTTCGTCCAGATCGCGCTAGCGAATCGTTAAGATATGCGCTAAATGGACTAAGTCGTTATTCCTTAATTATTATAAATTTACTCAGCACTCTGCTGAATAAATACTGCATATTGATCATTCATTATAATATCAGTCAATCTGATAATTAGTGAATCTATTTTTTTCCTCTTCTAACAGCACTCACTATTTCTGGCTTAATTAATTCCACTAACTACGCTAAAAGGCTATTTGATGATAGAAGTATAGGTATATCCCCAGTAATATCAGGATTTCGCTTTCAATGACAGGCTTACTCTCATCAGAAGACGTAAGCCGAACCTATTGTGCTTGAACACAGTCATAGTAACATTGCACTTGGCCATCTTTGCCATGTAATTTATTAATTTACTAAAGATAATTAAACTTAGTATATGTTAAAAAATTTATTATTAATTCATGTTACTGAACAGTTTGCTTGATGATTGCTACACAATTTTTTGTATTTAATCGTAAATTCTCTCAAATTTTCTCCACCCTTGTTTTATGGTACATTTAGGAACAGATGAGAATATATTGATAAAGATCACCGTACAACATAACAATTATCAGAGACAAAAAATTAAGACTGCTTATCAAACTATGTATAAAAAGGCAAGTCATTTATTTCAATTAATTAAAATAAGTGGTTAAGGCTGAAAATTTCTGACTAAGCTTGCTGAACTGTTAAAAATTTTTGCGAGGAAGTCATTTGGCGATAGATAGAAATATAGGTGAGTCACTAGTACTTGGGTTTACTGTTGATTTATGATTAAAAAGTAAGCCTTTCATGCTGCTTAATATTTCCTAATTGCTAATTCTCAATATCGCCAGTTTTTTAAATCCATTAGCCCATAAAAATTTTTTATAAATTCATTATTCATTATTAACAGACTATTGTGTCATTGTGTCATTTCGCTGTCGGTTCTATAGAGTGTATTTTCACTCTCACATTTATTCTCACATTTATTTTATTATTTATTTTTTCTGGTTGGGCTTATTCCAGTGGCTTGTCGGACCAGATTTATGGAACTATTTAGCCATAGGAATACAAATAATTCGCCGGCATCACTCGTATTTTTAGAGCACAGGTTTACTCTTTCCGGAAATGGAACCCCAGCATTGGTGGTCCGAAATGGGAGTAACCCACGGAACCATCCCTATTTACCTTGGCCATTCGATACTTAGCGCGTCAGCTGGATTAAAAACATGTTGCTAGCGAATGAAAATTACATTTATTCTAAACGCAAGCTTTTAATTTAACAAAAAAGGTCCATAGTTGTTTGTTATTAGGTTGTAACTGAAATGAATGTTATTTAATCAAAAATCACTGGCAATATAAGTAAAAGCATCTTTTCTTCATAAAGAAGTAGTTCTTTATAAGTAGAAGTATTATACTATTTTTGATTAGGCTATTTCTACTGGTTCTGTGTATGAGTAGAAATTTTCGCTAAGGAACAACTTGGGATCTAAGGTATCCGCAACACCAGAATTTTCAAAGCCTGAAATTTGATGCTTGAGATGATAATCTAAGCGGCTACTTTTTTATCATTCATTATTTCCAATATAATTCTTCAATTCCACTAATCGGCTTTCGTCATTTATACAAATACCTTGAATTATGAAATTAGTCTATCTATATTAAAATACAAATTAAAGATTTTTGTAAAATGATTCATTTCAGTCACTTCTTGACGATTTAGAGGAAGAAACAGGTGGCCTTTTTCTAGAACTTATTCGGATGCTATTTCTTCCGCTACATGAATATTCAGCTGACCTTATTTACTATTCGATTTCCGTAAGCTTCTTTTTTAACAATTTTATAATCCATCATTAATCTTAAGTTTTGTGTTATATTTTTTCTGTTTACTTATGAATTGCAGAATGTTCGAAGTAATCGAAATACCTATTCCGTAGCAGTTGAAATAATTGCTTCATCGACTGTACAGGTCCGTTTTAAATCTTATCAAATCTCTAATTTTACCAACGAATCTACATGGCAACGGAAAATTTGTGCAATTATCACGATTAACCTTGGCTTTTTTATATTTATACGGATTTTACTGGCAAATTTTGTTCATACAGTCAGCTGAATTTGAAAAGCAAACAGCCATCTTTATGATATGAATGTTTATTATTCAATAAAAATAAAAGAAAGAACTTCTACGTTTCATTGACTGGTGGCTTAATATTTATTTCCGGAAAAAAACGTGAGAAATTGTTCCTGTTTCAGCAACTGGCGAAAATACAGAGCATATATCGTTCCAAATACAAAAAATTACTCGAGCACGATCTGCGAAAGGTTTTCGTTGGCTGTTCTTATTTATTTTAAGTTAGAAAAGACGTTTTTATTCATTTAATTTACATTATCGAGTTTGGAATTGAGGGATTTTAAAAAAAAAGTTGCCCGAAGATAAAAATGATAAATTCGAAAAAAAACCATGATTTATGAAGTCATGTCTGTTTAGGTTGAGGGGATTTTTGGTCGAATGCTTCAAATGCTAATACGATTCCCAAGAAAAACCGAGGTCTGCTCGCTTGATCTATCTTTGATTGAACAACAAGTGGAACTTTTACTCTCGGTAAGATTTTGTAATCTGTTTGTGGCAGTAAAGAATTTATAATACCATATAGCAAAATTGAGCATGAGAAATAAGGACTATAGCAAAATAGGGAAAGGGAAAGTACTAAGCACTTATTCTGCAAACATCTCATAAAGCTGCTTATAGTTAAAAGACATTACAAATCTGACAAGTGACTTAGCGCTTTTTGAAACAATTTTTGTCCGCAGTAGCTGGGACCATTTGGCTGCAGTGATTAATCGTTTTGACACAAGATCGGACAATGGGAACATGGAGACGATGATCAGAGAAACGAAGAAAATGAATATAAGGATAAAATTATTATTACTGACAATTGGTGAGTTGATGCCATTTTTAATGTCCCAAAATGTTAGCGGAGATGTTAATCATTAATCATTTCTAAATTTTGGTTTAATTTCATAATTATTCATAAGGCCATCAAATGGCTTCTTCGGTTAGATTCAAAAATATAAATTTGATATCTTTCTCTTGATGGGAGTAAGCCTATCTTTAAATGCGAAATCTAGCAGGTGCGGGGATCTAAATATTATACTTACTTTTACCTTCATGTGGCTGTCTAGCGAAAGAGTCTTATTCTACTTTAGTAGAGTCAGCCAAACCAGAAATGATGGTCGTTGCTAGAAATTTATCATAGTGAGTTGATTTTTGATTTCAATCTTTTCTGCAATTTTTTTTTTTCAAAATCCATTCGCAAGATCGCTTATCAGTTAAAAATTGTATATCTCCGTACATCTCGGGCTTTTTGACTGCAGTTCCTTATTCTCATTAAGTAAATTGAATTAAATTAAAAATTATTTAATTTCAGTCCAAATTTCGCGAAATAAACAACTATTTTTCGCCGAAGAACTTCATAATGCAATTCACACCTCTCCACCCGATCACGCATCAATTATCCGTATCATTGTTACAAGAAGCGAGGTATATTACTGCCCCATTGTAGAAATTGAACCATTAGTTGATTTATCGCAACATAAACGATTGCAGTAGATCAGCGAATTTTACGTAAATCTAAAGTAAAACGTTGATCCAAGGCGATCATTTTTTCATCAAATGCTCTTTTTTGAGTTATAAAAAATATAAAACTGTGTCGATCGATAATTCATATTGATTCCAGAAAACTAAACAGAGCCCTTAAGTCCCAAAATTTTTTCAAATATGTTATTAGTTCGAAGACCCAAAAATTTAGTTTCGGTTCTCTCCTATAAGCGCTCTTAAGTAAAATTTATTCTTTGATAGCAGTAATCCGTTAAAAATAATCTGGCAAATCCTTTACGCTCTTCGTCACTACTATACAAATATTTAAAGAAGTTTACGTTTATGAAAATCGTCATTGAAAGAAGATGCACAATATTTGGCTGAAAATTATTTTAAGCATTCAGCATAGCCATATCCTCGTCGTACATTCATCCAAACTCAAAAGGAAATTTTCTATAAATTAAATTTTAGATTGACTTAGCTAAAATTTGCTACGAATATAGTCTGAAATATAAAAGGATGCTTCAAATCGATCTCACAAATGTTTGTGGCGGTGAATATTTTCATTTACTGCGCTGCCTTACGAATTGTCACAGCAATAATTCCGCTACTTGCGAATGAACTGATGATATATTCTCATTTCAGATTTCTAGATACTACCAAGACGTTGGTTCACCATATTTATTTACTAATAAGTTGCCGGGCCAATTAAGTGCTTAGAGCTGATCATTTATGGTTGGACTAGCTCTCAATAGTTATTATTAGAAATTTTTGTGAAGGAGTCACTTGGCAATAGTGGAAGTGCAGATGAGTCGTCAGAACGACTCGAATCTTTTGTCGACAGATTTATTTCCTAATTTCGTGAGAAAAATTTTACGAGAGAATTACAGAAAGCCGTATAATAATTGATGTGTTATGACAGTTTATGAAAATTCAAATTTTTTTTTATGCTCGAAATATAAAATAATTTATGGCGAATTTAATTTTTGCAACGGTATTTCATTGTTTATTTTATTGAAGAAATTTTTTTTCAAAAAAAACTTAAAACTTTAAACTTTAAAAAAGAGCTTATAAATTTTGTGGATTTGTTTATCATTGGTACTATTTTTAAACGATTTTCAGATTCTTTTCCTTTCTTTGATCTCATTGATTCCATAAGAATAAAAAATACGAGATTTACGGGATTTTTCGATTAATATCGTCCGTCAACACTTCATGAAGAATACAAACTTAACGAAGTGCTTTTATAATACATTTTCCGATTATGGCAATTACGATTATGTTCTTTTCATTCTTTTTTGTTAAATTATGAATTTATTTTGATATTCATTAATGCTATATTGTTTAGTTGTTTAGACGACTGCTTGAAATGTAGGATAGGTCTACGGAACATATGAGAAAGGTTTTTCAATATTTTTCGATCAATAATGAATGTTTGCAAAATTATGGCAGTGTGGTTGAATGTCTATTGCCTATGTAATAATTTTAAGTAACCGCTTGGCTTTAGCAAGTAAGATTGTGATTGAAAATTTCGACAGTGTTAACCACCCACCAGTGCTTCTATTCCTGAATAATTCTCTGGTAAAATTTTCTAATCCTGCTAATAGCTAGCTGAGTGAACTTAGCATTTGCTTTTACTATACAAATCTCCTCTTCAGTACAACTGTGTCCGCAAAGAAGAAGAGACAAAATAAGTCACATTGACTTTTATGCATAATCTTCGTCTGAGAGAGTAGAGACACGTATTTGATTCCTTGTTAATTGAAATATACCATGGCATTAAAATCGAAGACCCATCTTCATCTCATTATTTATGTGATTCCCTGGAGAAATGATTTCACTCTTATCTCAGCAGATAATCGGACCGGAATCATTGCATATTATTGGATAAAGGCGATGAAATAATTGTTATTAAGACATTTTCAGTCTTTTATTATCTACTCAGAATTAAAGCTTTTGGATATCTCATTATGGTTATCTGATATATTAGTGCTATAATGCATATGAATTAGTAAATCTACAATCTGATCAGCAACTGAATCAAACAATAGATGACAAGACTAATGCATAGCACGTAAGATGAAGGAGATCGTGGATTAAGAGAATGAGTCTAAATATGGAATCATTGCGTATTATTTTGGCTGTGAGGATTACTAAGACCACTAAGCCTTGCTTTGAGCAAAAAATTCGAAAGTTGGTCGATAGTATTCTAGGAAATCAGCATTAGAAAAAATTACAAATGAAGCGATCCAAAGCTTGGGATCTAAGTAAATCAAAAAGATTAACGTGTCTGGAAAATGAAAGAAATATTCAGTTTATCAGACTGCTGAGGTATTCGTCTTTTCCGGGCTCATTTTTCCCTAACTTTGCTCATTCTTAATTTCACGAGAGAAATTGTGGTTCTATAATGAAGTATCAGTAATAACCAGCGACGTTAAGAAAGGGTAAAGCTAGTCGGGTAGTATCTTACTTTCAAGCTAACTCCATCGTGGCTTTTGCGCACCATTGAAATAAGGTACCAAATAAAGCAGGTCCTAAAATGTGTTTGAAACATTTTGTGTCTTGAGAGGAAAAAAGTTTGGCAAAATTTAAATTTAAAATTTGGCTGCGTTCCAATTTAAGATTAGTCACTATTGTGCAAATATTGGGTCTGGTTTTATTTGGGGTTGAATTGATTTTTTTCTCTATGTTGTCAATGTTTATCACCTTATTTCGTATGATTTACAAATTTACTTATCAGTTTTCCCATACGCTGTGACCTTGTAATTTCAGCTATGATAATAAAGCCTGATGGTTCGATAATTGGGCTGATGGCGTAATAATAATGCGTGATGACGTGATAATAATACCTTTGCATGATTTCATCGCACATATTTTTTGTAATAAATATTGTAATTTTTTCGTTTCTATGTATTTAACTTCGTTTGCTTTTCTTATTATTTCAATTACATAATGTAAAGCATATTTTAACGCAATTTTATTCAAATGGTACATAGAAATACTGAAAAGTCAACGATTATATACATGTTTTACTAGCATTTTGCTTTGTTTTCTTGATTTTTTTTAGAGAGCCCTCACCATTACTGGTTAAACTCGCTCCGCTGGCTTGTTGCATTGGGCAATATGCCAGAGAGTCTTTTGGCGATAGAAATACAGGAGTGAGTCGCCAGCATCACCCTGATCTTTGGATAGGTTCACTCCTACGAGGAATCGAACCTCAGCATCGGCGCTCCAAATTTAGCAGCAACCCACTGAGCCATTGTTTCCTTGACTGGGAGAAAATTATTCAATTTAAGCAAAATTTTTTTGTTCTGATTCTGTTCATCATAACATTCGATTGAAGTAATTTAGTGGAAGTAATTAAAATAAAAATTGAGTTAAAGTTGAGTTCTTGTATGTGAGTTTTTCTCTTTTCGCCCTTTCATATTTAATTTGAATGAGATATTATGGTTTTTTGTGAATGGTTTCATGATGATTTTATCTATTAAATAGGGAAATTAGGAAATGTGTGTAAATTTTTTTTGCTATTAATTTGCTATAATCATATTATTTTTTTGTATGTTGCTAAACTAGCCGAGGCTTATTTATGATTCTTTTTCTTTTTTGTTACTTAGGCCAATAATTCGTTGTCTTGGTAGTTTTGGAATACTTTTTTCAGATGTAGCATGCAGAAATATAAAACCTCGAGCACTGACGAACGTGAATCGAAATTTGCGGCAAAAAAATCAAAATCAACAAAATTTGCCAAAAGTTTAAGTGCGCCCAATGAATCGAAATCACAATATGTAAGTCAAACAAATTTTTTTTATGTTATAGGGTTTAAGCCGAAGGAATAGTATACAGCTTTATATGCTTTTTACACAAATTTTGATATTTCCGTACAGTTATCGATATCTTATATCGCTTATTTATATTATAATTTGATGGCTGTCTTTATGCTGAATTGGGGGTATTATAGCCAAGTTGGCTCAATTTATCCTGTCAGGAGGCGAGAGCTCAGCTTCTTCCAGCCCATCATTGAAAAATTCAGGCCAGTACTTCTGTCGCAGAATAAATGGCTGGCAAAGTTTTTGCGAGTGTAACGAAGGGCATATTTTCTTCAGCTGAAGTACGAATAGAACAAATGAACAAAATTTTATTGATTTCAGTAGAAGATTGGACGTGTTCAAAGCAAAATTTTCATTAAAAATTTATTTGGTTCCAGAAAAATCAACGTTTCTACGTTTTTGAGCACTAGGCTGTTCTATTATTGAGCAAATATCTTCTACTTTGCTGAAAAATGGTTCAGATATCATATTTGTTGCAGGTTTTGCCAAAAAATTTTTTCAGCTGTTCTAGCTGGTATTGAATATCCGATATTGTTTCCATTCTATTGAATGAGCTATCGTCTCGTTTAATAACTCATTCAAGAATACAATCAATTCATCATGGAGTCCACAGTTTTTCCAGTCAATTCTTTAACTGAAAATTGAATCAAAATCCCATGCTGTTATCATTTTTTGCTTTTTTATGGGCAAGAGGAAGAGTATTTTCAGTAATGTTTTTGATATTCGATAAATCTTCAGAACATATGCAGAACATTTTTGGTGTAAATTTGGTATCGTCTGAACAGAAACGATCGCAAATCTAATAGTAGAACAATGAAATAATTTGATTTTAATAACTTGATTTAACTTTACGAGTTGTCTCGAGAGATAATTTCTTAATCGTTGAGTTATGGACTGAGAACTGCTGTAGATCACGCTGAATAACGTTGATAGCTGGAGAAATATATGATGCAGTCGATTTATCAAGGTGTAAAATTCATTTGGCATGTAATTTTTTGAAAGAAATCAGTTGTAAAGTGTCCAATAGCATAATCTTGTTCGCTAGCCCAGCTGCTTTATAATGTTTAACTTGGCTGTCATGTCATGCTGGGAAACGAGTATTGCTTGGTATTTTTGTTCTTAAATGTCTACATATCAAAGTCTGATACTCTAATCTAATCAGAAGTGAACATTTGTATAGAACATTTCAAATCTATTATATGTGTATTATATGTGGGGTGGGCCAAGGATTGTTTAAATTTTAAAATCTTTAACTAATGAGCTAACGGCCAACGGAGCGAATCTAACCAGAAATTCGCGCTAACCGCTTATACTTTTTATTTAATTGTGGATAAGATTTTTGGATAAGTAATTGGATAATTTTTTTCGTAACAAATAAGAATCGCAAAGCATGATTTCCATTTTTTCTTTTGTCATTAATTTTGCTAATTTAAGTTTTCTACCTATTCGGCATCGGCTGGACCATCCGTTAATCGGCTCAAATTCAGTCGAGTGCAGAGGTATGATTTTATTTTTTCAATTTTTCTGTAAAGATGAAAATTCACACTGGTTGACAGTTGCTGGCAGTTCACCTTTCGTCATATGACAAAAATTTCTAACTGGCAATTAGCCTAACCTAACCAGAAATGTTAATCTTTTATCACATTTTTTTTCATTTAGTATTCGTGAATCATTATCGTGTGGCGCAGCCAAATTCTTTGGAATATCTGGAACATCGGACCATACCTCATATATTGATCTATGGATTGATCGACGTTATCGATATATCAGTAGAAGATACGGATTGGCTAGTAATTTCATTGAAAAATTAATAGAAGGTCAAAATGGGGGTAAGTATTTGAATAATGGTTTCTTTTATTAATAAGTGTTTGAGTGGTATTTATATGATACATCGTATAGCAATATAAGATAGCGATTTAATAAATGAATTATTTGTCCGAATTATTATTTTTATTTCTATCCACGTTATGATTCAGAAGTTGATGGTATTGTTGATCATTCACCTAGTTTGTTAGAACAGTTTTCAATGAGGGCAAGAGCCTCATGGGAAAAACCTATCTTGGTTAGTTTTTGAAATCATGTACTTGTCATAAAGTACTTATCATCATATTTAATGACTTATTTCTTGTACCTATACTTTTTTCCATGGGAAGTCGTCATTATATTATAATATTATATTATTTCGAAAATATAAATCGGATATAAATATAAATGATATCTTATTAAAACCGAAATGCGAATTTACTCATTAATGAATGATAAGATTTGGAAGAAAATTTGAATCAAAGTATAAAAGAAACGGTGATAATGTACTTAATTTGAAATTAGCTTAATTATAATTTTGCATTTATTAAATTTTTTTTTTGGGAGGGGGTTTTAAGGTTTAATATTTAATTAATATAATATGATGTAAATTTTTTGGTTATGGTTTTATTTGTTTTTGCTAAGATTATATGAAATAGGAAAGAAATAAAAGCCTACTTTTTAAAATCATCATTATCACTTTACATCGCTAAAAGGTTCTCAATTCTTAATTCTGAGATTCCTGATCGAACATTTATCTTTATCATTTGCAGTTAACTATTTCTCGAAGTCAATCTACTGATAGTCGTTCGAATCGATCGTTTCGACTTGAGCGCCGCGAAAGTGTTGTTAAAATGGCATGGGATGGTGTTGGATCATTGCTAACCAGGTTCTTTTTATTTTATTTAATAATTTTGTGCTTTATTAATTTTTTTTATGATTTTGTCTTAAGATTAGGATTATACTATAGCCGATACTCCTTTTATCTTTTTTAATTGCATCTACTATTTCAAGAAAAAACTATTATTAACGATTATTTTTTAAAAAATTTGATTTAAGATTTGAGTAATGGCCATTGTTTTTGGTGGTCTAAACTCTAGTAACTCCTTAACTTTTTTTTCACTTCCAGTTTTTATTCAGAGGTACTTTACGAAGCGATCTGAACAGTCAAGGGGAACGGTTTCCTGTTACTAGTAGTTTTTCGCCCTATTCTACTCACTTGACGGATGTGGCTTCAAGAGTTAGTGTTTCACCTACTCATCCACAGACATTTGATGGTAAGTTTATCCGTCAAAAATGCTTTATATTTTAGTTTTTTGACATTGTAAAATTTGAGAATGTGGTTAAAATGGTATGTTGTTTCGACTAGGCCATCATAGGTTCGGCTGTTGCACCTTGATGTAAGTAAACGTGAAATTCAACACTAGGAGCTCCTCCGTACTCTTCAAGTGACTTTTTAATGAAGTTCCTTCCTATTTAAAAGGGAAACCAGACCAAAGAAAGATGGTGGAATTTCGATTCGCATCAAGAATCATAATTCCACAAGAATGAACTTGTCATTAAAAGTCCGAATGATGTTGGTTACCCACTTGTATTTCTGTCACAACAAAAGGAATACCTGATAAAAAAAATTTTAAAACTATCTGATATCTAATGTGCTGGAAATGGGAAATCTGAAAAATTATGGAATGAATGAAAAAATCTGAAAATTTTTTCCTGAAAATATTTATTTTAACGGCATTCGCCCTGTCTGATTTAGGTAATTGCATCGAATATTGGGATGGGAATCCTTCACCAGAGAGCGATTTGTAAGTAGAGACATAAATTGACCTCAAATATCTAGTCTAAAAATATTGAAAATGCACATTCGCAAATAAATCCCAGTGCGGTATTTTATTGTTTCTAAAATGAATTTTTCTTTTTAGTTTTATTGAAAGAAGAAAAGATTACATTTTAATTAGCAATGCATTGGTCAATTCCATTTGCAGGCAGAGGTATGGGGACTTTAATTGAAGTTGATGATGAAAAAGATATTTCAATGCGGTTAGTCGGATTTAACGATGTTTTTAACAAGGATGGGAAAAGAAATTCTGTCAATAATCGTTGTAATGAAGTTCCAATTATTTCGATGTATAAAAAACATGAATCGAAAAAGGTGTGTTTTCGCATATTGGGATCGAAATAGGAGAATATGCCCCCAAAACTGTTTAATAGTTTAATAGTTTTTAATCAAAAATTTTAGTTAAAAAATTCTTGATTATTGTTCATTCTTGATAATCCACGGAAAATTATTGAAAACAAGACTAAAATATATTTAAATTTAATTTTTTCAGTTTTTTAAGGAGACTCCACTGCTTTCAAGAACTGTCGAAGATAATGGTAATGACGGAAGCTTAATTGTTGGTTCTAGTGAAAAAATGTTAGCAAAACGAAAGGGCTTAAGCAATTCTAAGAGAGAGTGCGCAAATCAGTTTCTGAATATTGGAGAAGTTAATTCAAAATTTTTAAAAATTTTTAAAAATTTTTTGTTTCTAATGAATTGATAGTGTTTAAAATGTTGTTTTTTTTCTTCGTTTGAGCTTTTCTTGATTTCAGTTGATTGATTGATTTAAAATTTAATAAATATTTTTTTCTTTTTGTTGATGTTTAGTTACTTTGAAGAAAGTTGGAGCTCATTATAATAATCTTGATCCGCTTGTGGACGAAATTTTCTTCGATGTAAATCCTTTTTTCGAGCATTCTAACCAGCATTTCAATTCATCACCGGTCAATAATGCGGTGAATGGGTCGTCAAATGGAAATCGGGGTGCGTTAATTTTTCCATTTTAATGATCTTCATTTTATAATTTTAATTGTTCAATTAGAATGTAAAATGCAAGTTCGTTAGTAGTGGAAATTTTTAGAAATTCATTTGTTTGAACCGGAGAATGATCTAGCAAAAACAGATCTCCAGCGTAATTTACCACTTATTCCTTTTGATACTGAAGTATGTTTATTATATAATCTGATCAGAATAATTATTCGATTTGATGATTTTACTGCACCTTATTGCTGTTTTTCTTAAAATTGAATTTTGATTATTTAAGGAAATATCAAGTACATATGATATATATGGTGGAAGAAAATCAGCAATGATAGCAACTGATTCATCAAACGTTCGTTAAAGTTTTTTTTTCTGATTGCGTTCGCTTCACGCTTTGTTAGGAAAAAACCCTTTCTTCAGAAACACTAAGAGATTAAAGAGCACATTTCCCTAGCATCACCCAGGTTTGACACTTAATAGAATGGTTTATTCCAGTTAAGAACTTATACACAGGAGGCATAGAAAGAACATGTACGAACTTATAGTTTAAGCGCTACACGACTCGACCATATTGCTTACTTCAAAAAATCAAAAAAGTTTTGTTAGTATATGCTTTTTACGGGTTTTTAGCATTTGCGACATAGAAAGGAAAAAAATTAAATCAGGTTAATGAAGTTGTTAACAATAGACCCATAATTTGTGAATTTTTAACTCTAATTTTTTGCCATGTTTCTTACATGTTTAATTGTCATGTTTAATTTTTTGTCATGTTTCTTACATTTTGTTGGATCGCAGGCTGAATTCACCATGCCAAGATCGTCTACTAAGAAAATATCTCCAGTGTTGAAGGTGCTTTTTATTTTATTCTGGTCTTCAGTTTAATTTATATTCCTTTCCCTTTTTTCTTTGTAGTATTAAGTATGGATCTTATAAAAATTTTTCCATTTTTTGAATGATAATTTTCAAACTCAAGTTCACAGTATTTTTTAAAATTAAATTTCCTTTAAATCTTTAATTTTCAGATGAGAAATGTTGATTGGCCAACAATTGCGCAGACGCTAATTTTATATCCAAATAAGCCCAGTTTTCCCAAGGTATATAGGTATATATAAGTCTTATATCTTATATATATTCTGGTTTATTTCATGTTTTTATATGTTTGATTCTTCGCTGGAAACAATATTTTTGATCAAGTTTCTTAATTAGTTCTTTATTGGGGATTTTTTAATGCACGAAATTTTTTTTTAGCAAATCCAAGAAAAATTTTCGCAACATAAATTACGCCAACAGAATCGTTTCGGAATCGGCTTTGGTTTATGGAGAAAGTATTTCAAAAGGAAATTAAAACACACCGATCAGTTCATTCCAGATAGCTATGTGGACTATCGGTTATTCATAGGCTTTATAAATATATAGTTGATTAATAAATAGATGGAATTTTCGCCTTCATCATAGTAAATTTTAATTATTTTAGGTTTAATAATCTCTGTATTGCTTTTTAATTTTTCTTTTGAAATTTTTTTTCGGAAGTTTTTCTCTTAATGCAGAATTTCAGGCCATTCTTTACTTATTGGGTGACTTCAGTGCAAATGCTGGTCACAGTCGTTTCTTTACTTATCTTTGGCTTCGGTCCATACGGTTTCGGACGCATAGAACGAACGGCTGATGTATTGCATTCTAGTATAACTCTTAAACACGTTAGCATTTACGAGCAAGGGAATTTTTGGCTGGGACCGAGTTTTGTGAGTTTAATTCTTTCTTTCTAATTCTTTCTTTTTTTTATCAGCTTGTGGATTTGTTTTTTTTTTGTTATTGCTTCTTTTGTGATTCAAAGAAGCGGCAGAATATCTTGCAATGTTTTAATTTTTGTTATATCATGGAATTATTGAATTTTATGTAATTTTATGTAATTTAGATGAACCTAGTTCATCTTGGTGCAAAGTTTTCGCCATGTATGCGGCATGATAAGCGTATATATGCTCAAATAAAACTTGACCGTGATCTTGAGAGAGAGACAGGTTGTTGCATTTATAATGATGGTACTGGATGCTTTCAAACAAGCTATAATACATGTCCGGTTAATTTTATTTTTATCATTATAAATAATTCGTTTTTGTGTTTCATGCTGTCTCAATTTTACAATTTTTTCATTCAGTTTTTATCATTTTTTAGAGGCTTATTGCCACTTGGATAAGGTGGAAAAATGGTAGTGCAGAAAATTTCAATAAGCGAACTTCTGGTGCTGTTTGTGGACAAGACCCGAGGTCTTTCTATTTATGCTTGTTCATTTCATTTTCTTTTAAATTTTAGGAATTTAAGTGGTCTTTTTATTTAATATTTCTGTGTTTTCAGATATTGCGACCGTCCATCGTCAGTTGATCCTTTCGAATGGCCTGATGATATCACTGAGTGGCCCGTAATAATTTTGCTTATTTCTTTTTGTCTGTAGTCCATTTTAAAATATTTTTGAGCATTTTTTTTGGCTCATTTTGTATAAAAATTAATGTCTTAATTTTATAAATTAAAGATTTGTCGGACTTCTGCGGCCTTTATTCCTGAGAATCAAAAACATTTGCTGTGTGAAGTTACTGGTCGACCATGTTGCATTCAACTTCATGGACAGTGTCGAATAACGACTCGAGATTATTGCGACTTTGTACAAGGTTTTTTCCATGAAAATGCTACACTTTGCTCGCAGGTCAATTTTAAATTTCTAAAAAATTCTAAAAAATCTTTTTTTAATTTAAATTCGAAGTATTAAATATTTTTGATGGGCAACATATTTTATTACTCTTTCATTGAAATTGGTCATTTTTAATTTTTTTGTTTGTCATTTTTTCGTATTCCTTATTTCGCAGTGGTTTTTTATTTTTACTGGCTGTTCAGTTCGTTTTATTCATTCATTTTCATTTGAGCTTTTAACGGACATCTGTTGAATTACATCAAAGTTTTCTCATCTAATATATGATAGCATTTAAGTTTTGGTCTTTTAATTCATTGCATTTGCTTCAAGTTTAGTTGTATTTCCTTAATTTTTGTATATTGCTCGTTCAAGGTATCCTGTCTTGGAGATGTCTGTGGGATGCTACCGTTTTTGGACAGTAGGAAACCAGATCAGTTCTATCGTTTATTTATTCCGCTTTTCTTGCATGCTGGGTTATCCTTTTCTTATTACACCTAAGTTAAAAAGTTCTTGCGTTGTTCGCTTATGGTATCGTCATATATTGTTTCCGATATAACATTGTTTTGAGATTTTTATTTTAAATTTTGTGTGATAATTTTCTGTGATAATTTTGAAATTATATTGGGAACATATGCTGTTTATTCCTTGAGATCCTTTTTTTCGTTATAATTTTTTATTTTATTGTAGTTTATATAAAGAAAAGAATACAGAATATCTTTTCATTTTGATTTTTCCAGCATCTTCCACTGTGTGTTTACGATAATAATTCAGTGGCACTATATGAGGGACTTAGAAAAGCTTATTGGTTGGGCGAGAATGGCTATTTTATATATTGGATCAGGTGTAGCCGGTAATTTAGCGAGTGCTATTTTTGTTCCTTACAAGGTTGCCAATTTTCTCATTTTTTAGATTTCTTTTTTACAGTGCTTAATACCTATGCATAATACTTTTTTATATAATCTTTATTCAATTTTGAGTATAATCTGAAGTTAGTATTAATCGTTTTTTTATGATTTGCAGCCTGAAGTTGGACCTGCTGGATCACACATAGGTATCTTTGCTGCTATGTACACTGATGTAGTATATAACTGGTAATCACTTTTTTGTTAATAGTGCCACTGATCTCAAAGAAAATTGAATGATTCCAATCAATGAAACATAAAATTTTGTATTCTTTGATTCTCAAAATTTTTCAAAAAATATTGAATTTCAGGGCTATAATAGCTGAACCATGGAAAGCCATTAGAGAATTGAATATTTTCATGTTTTTTTTATTTATTAGTGGTGTTTTACCATGGATTGATAATTGGGCTCATTTGTTTGGATTTATTTTTGGTCTTCTTTTGTCCTTAGGTTAGGTTCATTTTTTATTCACAAAATTTATCTTATTGTATTATGAACAGCTGCTGCCAATCATTGTCAAAAGATTGCTAATTAACTATACGTAAATTATTTTTGTTTGCAGCGACTTTTCCTTATATACAGCGAGGCAAAAATGTTAGCAGTTGGAGATTAATGATAGTGGTTACCACACTTACTTCAGCCTCCGGTCTATTTATCTTAATGCTATTCATATTTTATGGCTTATCTGATTTTGACTGCCCTTACTGCGAATATTTCAACTGTATTCCATTCTCACCTCATTTTTGCGATAATCAAGGACTTAGATTACAGAGCTGGTTGCCAATTTGAATTTGTGGACTTTGAATTGGACAATATTATTTCATCATCTCCGATTGTGATTTGTAATTCAGTTGATTATTGGAAACTTCATATTCAGCTCTTTGGTTCCTGTAAGATTGATTTAAGTATCATTTATCACCATATGAGATTTATAAATGAATACTGATTAAAGGTTTGATTGGATAACTGCTTATGAAAATCGTTTGTATAATTTGTCGTCTAATTTTGGGAATATCTGGTTATTATAAATTTGCATACGACTTTTTGTAATCCTTTTATCTACAGTTTTTTTTTTTTGAACATTTATACTTCGTTTTTTAATTTTCTCGAATTGAAGTATACTCTAGGGACCATTATGTTAAATATTAAATCTGTCGATGCATTTTTTCGAATTAGAATTTTACTCTTGAATAGACGAAACATAATATGTAATATCATATCGTATATCTTTGGTTCACTAGTGCAAAAGTGCCTCGTGAGTCAACAGCCATCAGTATCCAATTTTAATAACGGATTCTCCGTCGTTAGGATTATCTCGTTCAGAATTAAACCCATTCTGCTTTGTTTCCAATGGAAAGTAAGACAACCTGTATTTGCCCATGTGTTTGGATTTACATGTTTACACCGTTTACATGTTTACATGTTTACACCGTTTTTTTTTTAATCGCATTTATACTTTTATTTAATCGAAGTATAGAACATTAATAGAAATATTAGGAAATTTCACAGTTTTCTTCGAAATTATTCCAACACCAAAAAAGTAAATCAGGAATTCTAAAAAATTTGAAATATGCACTATTTTCATTCCTAAACATTCTTTTGCTAATTCTAAAATTATTTGTCATAAATCCGTAGGCATGTGTTTAAGTATTGCTATTCATGCGGACGTATGCTTATATGTAATTATGCTTTTAGAACATTTTTTGAATCAGTCTGTCAGCATACTCTCCTTATTTTGGAGGGAAAAAAAATATAGTATATAAATAATATTCAATATTCTATTATAAGTTGTATTTTTTTTTTTGTTTCCGATATTTTCACTTGATATATCTTAAACCTCATAAACTGTTCTCGTTTCTTGCTTGTTCGTTGTTCATTTGTTCCTATTTTATCATTTTAATATTAATATTAAATATTATATTTAATATTAATGCTTGGAATAGTTGTGTAAAAATTTTTTAAGATTATTGAGTATTCAGTGTTTAGAATTTATTCACAGAATTATCTTCTTGTATTTCCAAAATCATGTATAAAGATAAATAGATAGATTAACCATTAACAAGTATTTTTAATTAGTTACATTCTTCTTCTAACAGCTTTTACCATTACTGGCTAGGCTGGCTCATTTGGCTACAAGGCTAAGACGTCTTCAAGCCACATGATCTGATTCCATCTTTGATAGTGATAGAAACCATTTTTTTGTCCATCGTCGAAGTCTATATATCGCTGGTCCCCCTATACATTCAAAATTTTTCCTGGTTGTATCAGTCGAGGTCTTTATTTGTCTTTCTCGATTTTGATGCCATCTGTCATAGGGTTCAGTAAGTAAAGAAATATATGCCAACTCCTGTGGTGGATGATGGAGAACGTGCCCTAACCAGCGAACGCGATGCTCTGTAATAACATTATTAATGCAAGTGACATTTGAACGAAGATGAATGCGGTCATGTAATATTTTTTCCGCTTGACGGATCCGTAAAATATACCTTAGACATGAATAGCCAAAGACTGATAGCTTTTTAATATTTTCCACTCTCGTTGGCCATGTTTCGCAGCCATATAGCAAGATCAAGCAAATTATAACTATATGGACGAGGATTTTCGCTTTCATGATGATTTCGTGATTTCGTGACGATAGAGGCTTCATCAACCAGATAAACATTTCTAGCTATCGTTAGCCGGTTTACAATTTCATCCTGGCCTGGCCATCTGGGATTAGAGTGGATCCAAGGTATTTAAAGTACAGCATTTCCTCAAACGGTAATGAATTGGTAAAAAAAGGTATTTTATGAGTTAGTAAAAAGGACTAGATTATCAGCATATTCAAGGTCTGTGACAATGTGCTCTGAACTGATTTGCACGCCTCTTGAGCAGGCAAGTGATGCCCATTATCCAGTCTAGTTGAATATTGTAGAGGAAAGGACGCAGTCCTGACAGACACCAGTTTCGAAGGAGTATGTCAGTTCCCCATATACCTCTGCCAGGGTATTCTGGTAAATGTCTTTATGGGCCGAATGATATTTTCTAAGACACCGTCACATTCCATCGCTCTTTAGAGCGCTGCGCTATCAATCGAAGCAGCAAAATCGATAAAGCAAATGATAGTGAGTGGGTTGCTGGTTTCTTAGCGTAAATATCTGGTCAGCACAACCGCGTTCCGGTCTGAATCCAGCTTGGTTAGGACGCATTCTACTATTTCATGTTGCCATGAGTTTATTTAGAAGAAAGTAAGTGAAAAATTTTCTGGAGATGCCCAGTAGGCTAATTCCTCAGTAAATGTCGCAGTACGTCCTATCACCTTTCTTAGGGATTGGAAGCAGAATTGTTTTGCTTCGATCATCCGGTAATATTAATTCATTAAATTATTTTTTTATTTTTTAAATTATTAACTAAACATTTCATTTTAAAATAATTTTGTCCATAAAAATAAATAAATTGCTCGATGAGTTTAAGGTTCTTTATCGTTTCGCTAATATCGAATCGTGTTGATTTTCAAGCATATTGTTTAGTTAAGTTTGTTTTTTTTCTATTTATTTATGAAACTTTAAAATAATTTTCTTATTAACCCGTATTTTAATTCTACTACAATTTTGGCTCCTTTAAAATCCTTTGAATAAATTCATAAAAATGACAATGAAATGAATTTATGAAATGAAATGATTTTATTGTAGTTTTCAACAGCATATTTACATATTTACTATTTAGATGCTAACGCTATGGAGAACTGAATTGAATTTGCTTTCGATATCTTGAAGAAACATTTAAAAATGTGGAAAATTTTGTAAATTTTTTAAAAATCTTCGAAGCAAATTGTTCAAATATTTTCGCGCTATTTCTCGCCGTTTCACGCTATTTTTGTCATCACTAAATTACTTTATAAATAATATTTTTTTCACATTTATATAAAAATTAATAATTTCTTGATTTTTTAATAAAAAATGTTTAAACGTGAAAAAATTAAAAAATTCATAAGATTTTTCAGAATGCAGAACATTGAATTTCTTTATTTTCGTTTTTTTTTATTTATTCTGAGTTTCCTTGTTCTTTCGATTCTCCTTCTTTGCTTCCTTTATATTCTTCCTCTTCTTCCTTCTCATTTATTAAGCTTATTGCCGATTTTAAGCTTATGGATTACAGAGATTATTTTCTCTTCTGTTGGCGGCTCATAGTTGCAAACGTAAAGCTCGACGCGCAAATCAATTATAAAGAAGCCCAATTTTTCCCATATCTCTATTCTCTTTTTCAAGAATCCACACCATTTATAGCTAAGCTCGCTTCGCTGGCTAGCTACATTGAACGAATATTCCAGGTAGTCCATTAAGGATGGAAGTTTATGTGAATAGCCAGCATCATCGAATTTTTCAACAAGTTTTTGCCGATTGGGAATAGAACCTCGGCATAGGCGTTCCAATGTTTCTCGAGTTTGCGAAGAAGGCGAAACAGTTCCCTATTATTACTTATCCGAGCCGCCGTCTCCATTCTCAAGAATCGCTCCAATAGCGATTTCTGTCCCGCCGTTTTGCTTTGTTGTAATTCTTCGAAGCACCCGTTAGTAGGATCTCCTGATATTCTTTCAGACAGTTGGACAGTTGCTTCCGACAGCTAACTAGCGCACTTCTTACTACTATATCCTAATGTGGAATTGGCTGACTTTTGTAAGCATGTTTAGTTGGGACCAATATTCTTTCGCCGTTCTAGAGATTGACGTTCATTTCATTGAGGTGTTTCAATAATGCGGTCTGAAATTAATTTGAGATAGTTGAAAGATATTGGTATACGTTGTTTCTTGCGACTTGTAAGTTTTATACGAATCTTGGCTCGAACCATAACATGATCTGATCCATGGCGGTTACTAGTTTCAGCGATAAGAACGACTATCAAGTGCAGAACTCTTCCAGCGGTGAATGACCAACATATAGTCAATCTGATTGGAATATTGGTTATCCGTAGAATTCCACGTGACTAGATGCCTTCTTCGGTGCGGGAAGCATGTATTATTAACAAAGAGCTCATGCTGTTCGGCAAAATGAAGAAGGTATCCTCCATTGACGCATTGCACCCCAATGCCATATTTGCCAATTACTGAATTTATTGTAAAGGCCTATGTGCTCATTCCAGTCTTCCCCGATTATGATCATGTCACCTCTCGGTAGAGATGCTGTTAATTGGAGCTCCACACAGAACTTGTCCTTATCGCGTATAAAATTGAAGCATATACTGATGACCGAAATATTACAAAGCTTTCCTTTGAAACGCGAGTGGGCCATATAATCATTTACTTATTTCCATTCAATCGGAGCGGATTGAACCTTTTTAGACATGAAAATCGCTAAGCCATTTCGTCCTGCTGTGACACCACTGTGATATAGCCAGTATCTTTGCTTGGAACTAGGTTTAACAATTACTCGAGAGCAGATTTTGTTTATATATATATATATATATGCAACATCGAATTCTGTGGAACTTATTTGGCTGGAATTTTTGATATTGAAGGGTAAACAAGGTTAAACTTATGTTTTGTGATAATTATGGTAGCAGTTAATAATTATGGTCATTTTTTTATTCACCAAATTGGTTGTTAATGTGTTCTTTTTATAAGCATACATGAATCGATAGTTCGTTGGAATCTCCAAACACCATTAATATTTAATAGTGATCAACTAATGGAAAGCGATAAAAAATGATGTCGTTTGAATGGTTTTGTTTAATTTTTGCTTTGGGGATAGGATGGCTTAGTGGGTCATTGCTCAATTGGGAGCGCAGGTACTAAGATTCTACTCCCCGCAGGAGTTAACCTGTCCAAAAATCCGGGTGATGCTGTCAACTCACCTGTATTTCTATCGCCAAGAAGAATGACATATTTATCCAATGCGACAAGCCAGCGGAGCGAGTTTAATCAGTAATGGTGAAAACTCTTAAAAAAGGAAAAAAATTTTCGTGTTGATAAAAATACGAAAATTTCACATAATATTTACTGAACGTTGATAGACTTTGTTGTTATAGTTGGATTATAGGCAAACTTATAGATGAACAAACGAAACACAACGGCAAACATAATAAGGCACCAAATGAAATGAAGAAGAGAAAAGCTGAGAAATTCAGTTAAACAATACATACGCGAGGAACATCTGATCATTTTTCGGTCCTTTTTTTATGAAACTGCATTCGCTGATAGCTATTTTAATTGCCGATTCAAATCTGAGTTGTTTTTCGTCCAATTTTTCGATAATAAATCTTTTTATTTCTTTAATTTCCAAACTGTAATAGTTTATATGTGGAACTCTGGTTTTGAGCTTTTATTTCGAAGTAACTCACTGGAAAAATTTGTGTCAGCCAACCGATAACCAGCGAAGCGAGCCTAACCAGAAATATGGCGTTCCTCACTTTCTTTTTTTTTGCTAAAATTTTTCCAATTTGAATAATTACCGGATTGTTCAAAATTTAGGTTAAACGTAAACATTACTTTCTAGCAGCACAAGTGGTTCGACTTAACTTTAGTAATTATTGGGAACATTTTTTGCGCTCTTTGAAATTTTCGTTTTGATGGTTGCTTGCTAAGACTTTTTATGTGCATATCAGTCCATTTAATCTTATAGTATGTAATTCGTAATGATCATCAGTACATTTTAGGTTTTAGGCGCTTCGAGCAAAAATAAGGGGAAATTAAGAGATTAAAATTTTCACTTTTCTAGTGAAGAATATAGCGTCAATGAATTGTCCAAGATCAGATGCACAATCCACCGGCTCAGCATATTCTAAATTTTTTCAAAAAATGCCCAATAAAAATGAGCAACGAAATGATTTCGGTAGCTGTGGATCAGAACCATTCGTATCAACATCAGCTGGACGATTTTTTAATGGCTTTTTTGATGAAGCAATGCGATTTTTTGATTATCCACTAAGTAATATAGCACCACAATGGATGGAACAAACAGTGATGCGAAACTGGAACGATGCAATCACAGTATGCACTTTTTTCATCAGTCATGATCTTCATATAGGTTTTTCTAATTGAACCATCAGCTGTTATCACTTTCCACTTATTGTTTCACTCCTCTCATTCATTCATAATCGAAAATCCCTCGTATACGATTATTGAAATTTTTAGATTACGGATAATAATCAGAAATTCTCTATTGAAATGGAATTGCCAGAATTTCGATCGACAGAGCTCTCCGTACGAATAGATGAATGCGAAAAAGAACTGTACGTGGAGGGTCGTCGAAGGCATCATCTTGAACGAATCGGTTCGACCGATCTTCAGTTTAAACGTAAATTTGTTATACCCGACGATGTTCGTACAGAGGCTATTGCTTCTTATTTCACTCGTGGGAAATTAATTATTTCAGCACCAAAATTATCCTCTCAAATGACGAAACGTAAGATTCCAATTCAGACAATCGAAGAGAATTCGGATAATGAAAATACGAAAACGGCCGAGTTATCAGCTGCATTTATCGATGATAGCGATTGTGAATGTTAATTATTCTTATAATAAACGAGAATTTTTTGGCAATTAGCAACAATAGATTTTTCATTTAATTTTATTAATAATAATGTTTGTACCCGTATTCAATAAACATAAATTTGGTTAGATTTCAATAACCAACATTGGTTTGTTGACCTTCGTTAGTTGGCAGACGACACACACTTCATTTTCAAATAAATCGTCACTCAGTTGCGATATTTCTTAGTACAACGGATTTTTTGATAATATTAGTATTTTGGAAATTCAGTTTATGCATTTTTCATGAATTTTTCGCATTTGTTTCACGGAATAAAATTTTTAAAATTTGTGGTCTCAAACAGAAATTATGACTAGCGTAACATTTAGAATTTCGTAATTTAGATTTGCGACGAAACTGATGGTTTAGAACGTTCAGGTATGGTCTGGCGTGAAGGAAGTAGGACTGGTAGAGGTGAGGTACTGTTGAGTGATTCAGATTTTGTTATTGAGGAGCGGGTGGTAGGCATAAGTTAAATATTAGTCAGAAGGGTAGCGATAAGACCAGCAACTTTGCGGCTAAAGTGAAAAGTTCACAATAATATGTATCCCCAGTAGCGCTGGCCATAGTTGAAATGGTTTGATCATAATTTGGGAAATTTTGACCAGAATAAGATCGTAAATTAACATAGTTGTTGATCAAAGCTGATGCTGATTTAAAATCTAAAGATAAACTCATTGGTATATTCGGCATAATAATGCGTAATAATATAACATAAGATTGGCAACGATTTTTTCTCGTTAAAGAAAAATGCGCTGCCATTTTTTAGTTTAACTCACTTTTATACTTATTCATGAAGGCTTTATTTGCTTGATCGGTTCTTTATTCACCAGTTTTGCGCTTTACGCGTTTTTTCTTTGTGGTTCTGTATTTCATTGTTCTTTCATGCATGAATTATCCATATGAAATAAGATAACTGTGTGGAAGGTCGTCTCGAGTATCGTGGTTCTTTCCCTGCTTCTGGGAGTAGGAGACGTGCCATTAAAGGTCTACGTGCACTTTTATGCTCAATTGTCTTCCAAAAATTTCTTGCCATATTAATAGCTAGTGGAGCGAGCCTAACTACAAATAAACAAAACCTGCTTTTCATTTCTGTCTGATCAATGGCAGCTTTCGTTAATTATCTATCAATAATCACCAGAAGTTATATCCTTTGCTTTTTATCAGATGTTTAAGAACTTCTTTGTGGAAATCTATCTTTGTTTTCTCTCGTTCCATTTTCTAGGGAATTATTAGCTCAAATAAGGGAAAAGCAGCTGGTTTAGTGGAATATGCTACAAAAATTTAGTGAATTTATGAAGCAATCGAAGTTATTTTGTAGCACGGAGTGATTTTCTTGTTTCCTATATTGAAAGTTTGATTAAAAATTTCAAAGCTTGGTATTTCACTGTGTATGGTAGTTTTTTTCATCACAACTCACAACCTTATTTTGTTCTGGCCTATTTTTAAGTAATATTCGTGAAGAAGTAGGTCTAAGCACTTGAAACTACGAAATGGTGATAGGTCACATCTATGAATAGAAGTCATTAAAAATAGAAATGTACACCAGATTATTAAGGTCCGATAGGCCTTGGAAATCTGAGCTTTATCTGAATTCTTTCATTGGTATCACGGATATTAGTAATGAGATGGCTAACTGAAGACTAGTGCTTAGTAGAACAATTTGTTTGTAGTTTATAAATCAATAAGTTTTCTTGGTCATTTTTGATGATTTTGGCATAGATTTTAACGTTACAGAAGTGTATAATTGTCTCATGATTTTATCTTGGCCCATTTTACTGTACTAGGACAAGTTAATCGAAAGTGTTGTGTTAATGAATCCAATTTCAGAATCTCCTGGCTTGACATATTAAATTAATTAATTAATTTAATATATTTAATAATTTTATCAACTTTTGCTTTGATGATGTTTTTTGAAATGTTTTTTGTGATGTGAATTCATCCATGTATTTTCAGGAAGCTGATTAATGTTTCGGCAAATTTTTCCTCTTATTCGTCGATGTGGTCAAAATTTTGCTTGTAGGAATCGAAGTATTAATGGGAAACGAACGTATATGTTGACACCATGGTTCTCACCGTCTAATCCATTTAAGAGTTTGGAGCGCCAAATTCGTGAAATGGAGCGACATTTTGAAAACTTCTTCGGTTATTGTTTTAAAATTTTCAGTGCTGCTTTCGTTGCTGCTTGTTTCCACCAGTTAATATTTAGGTCTTTTAGGTCGTGGTATTTGGAATGAATTCGTACCATATAAAGGAAGCGATGATTTGGCACTAATGGAATCATTTCGTTTGCGAAATCCAGTAGTTGAAGAGGATGGTGTTAAAAAGTATCTACTTGAGTTCGATGTTCGCCGTTATAAACCTGAAGAGGTATCTTTCAGGTGCTTCAATTTAGTTGAAAAATTTGTTTGACGAAAGTTCTTAACTGATTTTTGTTTAAAGTCTTATCCGCCGATCAGGCGAGTACTTTTTATTTTATTCCATTATAGTAAGGTCACTTTATATTGGAATAAATTCCCTTGCGACCCATTTGTGCTTTTTTTACGCACCATTCTCCAAAGTGTTATTAGATTGAGCTTTTTCTTTGTTCTTTCTGCAGATTTCCATTGTCACAAATGCGAAGGCGAGAACGTTAACAATTAATGCAAAACATATTGGCGAAAATTCCACTTACGAATTCTCTCGTACTATGAGTTTGCCTGAAGGAGTGGAACCTCGTGGTATCAATTTTGTTTTAGACATTTAGAGGTCATGTTTTTACTCTTTTTTAGCACTTCCATTAAAATAATCCCTCCTAGAATTTATACTGAAGAAATATAAAATATGGATTTCTTTAGAGATCAAATGCCGATTCACATCGGGTGGTTCACTACAGGTAAGTGCTCCTTATAATCCATCTCCACAGGAACCAGAAAAATCTGATACCGAAATCAATGTGAAACATGAATGAATTCATGGCGTGTGTGCGACGTTTACTTTCATTATTTTTGTTGTTTTTTAGCTTCTTGTTTGCAAATTACTTATTTTTTCTTTTGACCGTATTGTTCTGGTTCTTTAGAAAATAAAAAATAAAGTTTTATTTTCATCTGAAATGCAGTTTGATAATCGAAAGGGCTTTTGCCTATAAAGCTGATAAAGTTTACAAGTAAAAGCGCGTACTGTGTGTTGATAGGTACGGTTGACGGGCATTGTATTTATTACTTGAAAATCGTTTCATGCACAGTCGAAAAGGAAATCGTTCTCAAAAAAGTGGCAGGACATTTTTAAACTATAGTAACATCATTTAGGAAAACATGGCCCAAGTGATTTCCATTTAAGGGGATCCTGAATCCGACGGATTATAGAAATGGAAATGAAAATTGACGATGCAATAAGAGAGGTCGTGGGTTGTGTGGATGTGCTTTTAGGATATCGTTATTAGTGGAGTCCAGAAAGAGGAGTCTTGAATTTTGTAAGCTATATACAAAGTGTTGCTGGTAGATTACAAATGGTTAAGATCGGAATGGGTTTGCACGATCCCGTTTTGAAGACGTTAGGCAGGATGATACAGAAGAGGCAGTAGACTAAATAGCAGACTTTAACGATGTACAAAAAATTAGCATCACGTTAATTACTAAATAATTAAATCACAAATCTAATAAATTCGGTGGAATAATTAAGTTATACGGCGGCAGGCAATCTATCGGCTACAGCGTTTTACTATTGATATACGGTGATTTTCCCGCATATTTTTTGACGACATGTTGGACAGTGTTCGAATCTGCTGCCACAAGTTTCACAGCATATGAAATGTGAGCAAGGCATGTAAAGCATTTGTGGCTGCAACAATCTTTGTTAGAGAATATTTTTCTACAACATTATCTATATGGTATGTGAGGGGTGCTCCGAAACCATCTGCAATTGCATCCACAAATATTCATTTTGGAGCAATCATAGGGAGAATTTCTCGTCGTAATAATGAGTACAATTGACCGAACCAAAAATGGTGGATGCTGTTAGAAGGAGCAACAAAATGTTAGAAGCAAAAATGAAATATGCAAGGAAACCAACTCGTTTGTCCAAGCAAATGACGCATGTTGGTATTTTATTCAGGAGTGACATAACTTCATCTCTTTCTAAGCGTATTTGCTCGACAAGTTGTTCTGCTTTTCGAATTTCATCAAGATAATTGTTACATTTTTCGATGTCACTTTGTTTCTTCACCAACTGTAAGGCAAAAAGATTTGAACTTCACCTAAATGCTAGAACGAATGCAGCAAACCGATCCTTGTGTTAGATTTAGTTTTAACACTGTATAAAAATTATACTATGCTTGCTATATTGCTAAATGACCATACTAAATATTCTCTTAATTCCCGAAACTCAACGCTGTTCTGCCATAATTTATAAGTGACATCATTTTAAGGTTTAACGTTTAACTTTCCGAGACTCATTCTCATAAAACCACACAATCTGATTTTTTCCTTAAAATCTCGTCAAACTTCGCGATGCATTTTTTCCTCTACCACCACAGTAACAAACTGTAGAATTATAAAATTTCCCCATCAAAAGCCCTTAATGCGCCCAAAATCTCGCCATACTTATTTGTTATAATTTGTTTAGTTAGCCGTTTCAATTGTTTTAATAGTATACCCAGCTATTATCCATTCCAATTTGTTGTCTAAACATTCCGTGAAACCTTAGTGATTTGGAAAATGTCAAATTAGTGCATTAGAGATCAGAGAGATCGTAAAGAAACGCAACGATCTTTCAGGGGACATAAATTGCTGCACCAAATTTTGGAGGCTATTCTGCCCGTCCGTGAGATGCGATTATTTTATAAAATCCGATTTGTGAAATCCGAAAACTTACTATTTGCTTCAGTTCTTCAATTTCTTTTTGTAATATTTCATTGATCTCCTTTAAAGATTTATTTGTCTCTTCTACTGAATTCAGTTTTATTAATAAGTCGCTGATCATCTTAAATTACTTATAATTAAGTTGAAGCATTTATCAATTCAATTTTGATAATAAAATTTTTTTAGCGAACCTTTTCTTTTTCTCGAATCTCGCTATCGTGTTGCTTCTTAACGACCTCAGCTTGCTCGGTAAGTACGCGAATTTGATCCGTTTTGCTCTTATTTTCCAGTAACTAAAATTAAACTTTTGTGTTTTGTATATGGAAATGTTTCGTAAGCATTTCTGCTATGCCATTATTAATTAATGAGTATATATCAATTTATTAAAGAGGTATAATTTAATTTGTGAGCGGTTGTCTCTATTCTCTATTTCGATCTCTTCGTTTAGTCATATTTTATTATCGTACATATTTCTGCTCCAAAAGGAATACTTTATTATTTATATCATATTTGCACTCAAGAGAAAGATTGAGGATAACTCCAAAAAAGGTCAACAGTAATATTTGTTCAAACGGAGATACAACTTCTTAATATTACAGAGGATTTGAAATTACAATTGGCCTCTGTTACTGAAAAATATGATAAACAGCAAGAGTTAATTTCGCACCTAAAGTATGTCGAATCACTCACCAATGAGAAACTTAAGAGAACAATTAATATTTTATATGCATAGGCTAAGGCGAATAATATGGATCGCTCCTGTTATTATCTCTGCGAAGACCTCGACAGAATATTGTTCGGAATCATCGATGAATATTTTGAAAAAAAGGAGCCGTGTTTAGCTGATATAAATATTCCAGAAAAACCTATAGAAGATGAATACTCAAAATTCGACTTGAAAATAAATATTTAGCTATGTCTGTCTTGCGCAACAGAGAGATTCATGAAGACTTGTCAAATGGAAATTTTTTGCGAAAGCATTTAACCAAAAAGGAACAAATACAAGCAGTTGAGAAAAGAATGTTATTCTCGTAACCAGAATCTTAATTAAAAAATTTGTGGCTAGAAATCTTCAAATAATAGAATCAGCCTCGCTAATGGTTTGGACCAATGAACAATAATATACCTCCACTTTTTCTTCCAATTCAGAACACAACAACCTAGGAAACAGGGTCAACAACATAAAAAATCATTTATCTCTATGTATATTCAATGCTAGAAGTTTAAAATATAAGTTGTACGACGATCTTAAGTCATATTGACAATCCAAATAATGTTTCTTGTATCAATGAAACGTAGTTAGATGGCTTTACTGATGACTGAATTCGATGGTCTCGACGCAAAGATGGAATACAAGATGGTTTGGTTACACGAGAAGTTGGGATTATTGCGCTTATTGTTATTATTATAAATATCCCATCATTGATGGTTATGTTCCTTGTTCCTCTTTTGAAATTCTAATAACCAAAATTTTTCACAACAGAAATGTTTTTAAGTACACTGTGGATCTTTACGACTGTTATTTAGACTAAATTTATTTGGTGCCGATTATGTAATTGCTAATGATCTTAATATGCCAAACATAGATTGGAACAATAGTTGCATGAAAAATAGCAAATTTGAAGAGGACTTACTAGAACTTTTGCACCTATACAGGTTTAAAGCAACATGCTAAGGTCGCCACTAACATCATATTAGACGCTGTATTGGCGTTGGCTACTTCTACTTCTCTCATTGTTCGCATTATAATATCCTAGAATCTTTTTGTAATAGTAATCACAATATTATTTTTGCTTCATTGAAGTTAAACCATTATACCTCCTTCAAGGTTTTCTGGAAATCATCATTATTGTGATTATGAAATCTTTTATTCTATCGCAGAAATAAACTGGGATTTCTTATTTTGTTTAACTTTCTCCATTAATGAAAAAGTTAATTTTCTAAATAGCACCATTTTATTATATCTTATAGAGCAAATAATCCTTTAGGGAAAACAGTCCCCCTTTCTCTAAAATCTCTTTAAAATAATATCAAAGACCTTTATACTAAGTATAAATTAGCCAAATTGTCAGGTGACCTCTCTGAGTAAAAAGAAAGCTTAAAAAGTTCATAAATACTTTCAAATAAAGAAGAGCAATTTTTAAATATCGATAGAGATCCTCTCTGGACTTACATTAAAAGAAAATTTGCACATCCACGTCAACAAATAATTCTGCAATCATAATTTGATCGCTTCTGACATCGGTGTTGCAGGTACATTTAATCAATATTTTTCTAATATATTTGTTGACGACAACACTCATAGTGCTTTTTTCAATATAAATCGAAGTTGTTGCATTTCTCTCTGTGAGGTTGAAAGACGTTGTTAGATGTTTGTAACGTTATTATTCATACAATTATATTACATATCATAAAAAAGGAAGCACATGTGATCCTTTTAATTACAGGCCTATTAGCCTAACATGCGTTGTTGGCAAAGTACTGGAAACGTTGATTTGCAACAAATTGTTTGCTTATCTTGATGCCAATAATTTAATATCCACCTATCAGCATGGTTTTTGTAAGAAAAAATCAACTTCTTCACAAATACCGGCAAATCTTTTCCATTGGTCAGCCTCAACTTACAATGGAAGTTTTTCAAACAGTATCAGTTGTGTACCTAGATTTGGCCAAAGCTTTTGATACTGCTTCCCATAGCACTTTGTTGATCACTCATAACAGTTATGGCATTACAAGGGACCTGTATATCTGAGTGTCAGACTACATAAAAGATCGTCATCAGGCTATATGTGTCAACAATATTCTTTCTGACATGACACCTGATAAATCAGGCGTTCCTCAAAATAGTTGAATTGCGTCATTGCTTTTTTAATTATATATTAATGATATCACCAAAATGGTTTTTGACACTACCATTTATCTTTGGGCTGATAATTGTAAAATCATGGTAGGATCGGATAACCTGTCTCCACTAAAGGATGATCTCATTCCAATTGCTAATTGGCTGCATAACAGGCAAATCACCCTTTCTTTTCAAAAGCACAAGGTTTTACATATAAATTTGGAAGGATTCGATCTTTCTAATCTTTTTATCAATGGCAATATAATCAGTTAATCAGATCATATTTCAGATCCTGGCATAATCGTGGATGAAAACCTTGATTTCAATCTTCTCTACAGAACCATAGTAAAGAAATCCTCGAAGATACTAAATTTTGTTTTCGCATGTTTAAGAACAGAATTTTCTTATCATTTTTCTTATTAAAATGAAGGTTTTCTTGTCAAAATGTACAGTCGTTTGGCCTTTTCTTAAGTGAAATACTACTTGCTACTCCCTGAGAATTGTGTAAAATAAATTGAAGGACTTCAGAAATATTTTATAAGTCGCCTCTCTCCTTATAAAAATTTTAATCATATAACTACAGACTATAATAACTATACAACTATAAAATCTGGATTCCTTCTCAATCCGTCGAATTAGAATCAAGATTTAATTCATACTTATAAAATTTTATACGGTTATGTTAAATTAGATAGTTCCAAATGTTACAATTTTAGGTTAAATTTGATTTCAACAAGATTTGATGATCTAAAACTACTAAAACCTATATGCAAAACTAAACTAAATTAAGGACTCATTGCTTCTTTATTCGTACTATTAATTACTGGAAAATTTCCGAACGATGTAGTTTGTGTGTTCATCCCCAGCTATTTTTAAAAAAAGATTGGACAATATCATTTATGATTATTTAAATGATATTATTTATCGTAAATGATATCAAATATTATTTAAATAATATTATTTGTCATAAATGATATTATTTGGAAAGTTCACATTATGCAAGAAGTTTGAAACCTTGATTTTTACCATTTGATTATATATAAGTAATACATTCACTTCGAACTATGCTATTTTGTAACTTCTCTTTGTTTCCTCTTTACATTGTTAGTTTTTGTCATATTTTCTTTTTTTTATCACTAATTTTTTTAATTTTATCTATTGTTATTAACATAGGCATAGGGCGCTTGCCGTCCTGATTGGTTTTCAATTAAATAAATAAATGAAAATTTTGATTATTGTTCTTTAAGTGATTAATATTGATAATTGTTAAAGATATCTAAAGATTTCGTTTCACAATTTTTCATTATCATATAGTTATTAACAACCTCGGCATCCAATTTTGCCTTAGTTAATTTCAGATGCTCACTTAAACTGGAATGATCATGAATTTGAGCCTTCAACGCCTTTATTTCGCACTCTTTATCGAACAAGCGGTTATGCCACAAGACTTGATTATCGGCAAATAACCTGCATCTATCCTGGAAAATCTGTTAGATTCGAATTTGTGAAATAATTATGATCGTCAGACCTGGTCAAATATCATAGATCAAAATTTTTTTAGCTTGAATAAATTCTGTGATATTCTTAAAATCAATGAACCTCGAGCATCTGAACAGATCGCTTAGATTCCTCACTAAAATTTTTCCGCTCTTTATCAAATGCATCCAATAGCCGTTGCAGCTGAAAAGGAGCACTTGGACGAACACGCAGTTCATGCAAGGATGAAGCAGATAAGTCTGAAATTACAAATTTCATAAATCTACATAGGCTTAATAATAAAATTGATCTATTTAGCTTATAAAATAAAATAATTTGGATAAACTTCTGAATAGTAAAATTTAAAACTGATTTCTACCAATTCAATGAATAAATTAGTTTTCCACCGAAATTTATATAAAAAAATTTGAGCTAACCGTCGAAGTGATCAAAAGGTCTTAATGGCGAAGAATTGTGAAAGGAAGTTGTACGACGAACGGTGGAACACGGGTTTCGTGATTGAGAACTTAAAAAAAATCTCACTTTACCTTTAATCAGATTTAATTTTCTTCAAAATTTCAGACGAAGTCTGAATTATGTGTTTATTTTTCATTTTTTTTGTTAAAATAATTTGTGTTCATTCCATTAAACTTCCCAAAATTTTCATTTTTTAAGCACAAATTTTCGTGTTAATAAACTGTCGTTTTAAAAATTCCTCTTGAGATTGTTAGCAAAACCCTTTCGACTTGACTTTTTTTTTTCTTGAAACTTGGTTCTAAATTTTCAGCCTTTATTCTGTTCTAATAATGTGAAATTAAGAAAAAATTTTATCTTTTAAAAATTTAAATTTATTTTATTTCCTCTGATCTTATCATGTATTAAGTTAATAAACGGTTAATGCTCACTATTTCTAGCTAGGCTATATTTACTGTCTATTATGTATAACTATAAATGTTTGCCAAGAATCATTTGAAGATAGGAGTTGTAGCAGATGTATTGCCAGTACCACGCAGATCTTTAATGACATGCTTACTCTTTTTAGAGGCAGACATCTTCTCGACATCTCTAATTATTCTTATTCTCTCTTCCCCTTAAAACGTTACTTTTGAAAAAAATACCTTCGACCAGGTCCATATTCATTATCAGCAAAAATGCAAGTTTTTTTTTGATGTTTTGGCGATGAACATGCTTTTTGCACTCGAGTTAACATATCAATCATTGCGTTTGTAGAAGAAAATGGTCGATAAGACTGCAAACAATTTGCAAAAAAACTACAGATTTTATCTAATCATTGCACTTTACTTTAAAAATTGGTAATTAAAAACTGATAATCGATAATTAAAAAATCAATCGACAGTGGATGCGCCAAATTAATGGCAATGATAAGGCAAATAACAATATTAAGTAAATTTATTTGAAAATTTTGTGATTATTGGCGGAAATTAAAATTTTTTATCATTATTATTATCATTCTCGTGTGAATTACCATTTGCTTATTTTCACCCTAATGAACCTTAATTTATTAAACCAATATTAGTAAATGGTGATAAAGTTTTAAAATTTATTGAAAATATACGGATTACAAGAGTACCCCTATTCTTTTAATTTTTCACAATCTTGAAATTCTTATCACAGTCATAATAAACCTTCATATCATATTATATCTGAATCAACCAAATGAATAAATATTTTTTTTGAAAATATTATTAACATCATTTGTATAATTAAATAATGTGCACAGATAAAAAAGATTATATGTACGACCACTTATACTCATTTTGTGACAATGGAAATTCAAGGTAACGTTTTGTCGCTAATAAGGTATTATTAAATATTATTATTAAAACATTAAGCTGAACAGTAAAGAGAAATAATTCTTCCTTTACAAGTATGACCATTTCTGGTTTGGCTGGCCCCATTGATTAATAAAGTTCCAATCTTTCGTTAAAAATATATAGCACAGAACTGCTCGAAAATAAACGAACAAATACGTCAAAGCTAATAGACTCGAGCAAAATACGTATAACTCATATTGTACTGTATTCCTGATCAACAGCTTTTTTAGATCGCTGAAGACAGTGACAGTGACGAAAATGTAAATATAACTTTGCCCATCTAAAATTTAGACGAGCATGATCCGAAATGCCAATCCTATTGGAATAGGAAATCATACATTGCTATACAAGGTAATGAACTAGTTTATAAAAGCATCAGTAGCAAATAGATACGCGCCAAATAGATTAATAACCAAAAATTCATGAAAAAAACCCAGAGGATTCAAAAACATTTTTGCATATATATTGGAATAAGAAATATTAAGTTCCTATAGCAGATTATATATGTTAATTCTCAAGTGCTACCTGGGGGCATGAAAATTGAAAAAACAAAATGTTGCTCCAACAGTGAAAAAAGAGTTCCTTAAGTCGATTTCATTGAAACCTTATAACTTTATAACTTTAAAATAGCAATTTTCCGCAATTTTGCAAATTGCAGATTTGCTTAAATGATGGAGCTATGGATTGTGGCCATTTTTGAATTTTCCAAACCTACTTGCATCTTGTTAAGATAAAAAACTTACTCCATCTTTGTCACAGTTCATACTTACTGCATTCATAATATCCTCATCAGTATAACCCATATCTTTTGCTAATCTTAACTGTTCACTTATTGACAACACTCCACATTCATCAGCCATCTCTTCACTCCAATGAGCTGAAAAAAAAAATATTTCTTAAAGATTCGTTAAATTAGTCACAATATATTTATTTATATGATAAGGAACAATCCGAAGATATATTTCTTCATAATATGTCCATAAAATCTATCCTCTACAGTTAGTCAAACTGAAAAAGATAAGATCTGACACAATGATTTTAGCAATCAGAAAATTTGAACAACTTAAAACTTTACTGTTCAGTTTTAATGATTACAAACAGACAATAAAAGCAATTCCTGATTTTTGCAAAAAAACAAGCAAACTCTCACATTAAACGAGGGACTCAAAAATTCGTACCCGACAATTTTTCAAAAAATAAAGGGATTTAAAAACTATTAAAAAATCAGAAAAGAATGAAATATGATCCATAAAATTGCGAAGAGTGTTTTATTCCTAGTTTACTAATAAATACAGTTAAACATAAGTTAAACATAAGTACCAAGAGTGGTAGTATAAAAATCAAATTATTCAATTATATTGCAAGGAATGAAGAATAAAATTAGATTCATGAAAGTAGCCGCAAGCACCACGACTATCATTAGTCAGTTATTGCCATATAATACAACGGCCAAAAGAAATTTACTATACGAAACATTCCTAATTGAGGAAATAATTTGTTTTACTTGACCTTATTTATTTATCTAAATTATAAACTAAAAAAAACTATATTAAAATTGAGGCCATCAGGATTTTATCGCCTTCTATATAACTACGAACTGTTTTTCGGAAAACAGTTCAAAATCACCTTTGCCACTTTTATCATTTCTAGTTTTTTTTCGAGCCTAAATATTACAATTTTTCACTTGTACATTATATTGATTCGTTACGATAATAATTAGATAAGTCCCAAATTTCTTTAAAATTTTTCATCTGGCATAAATAGTAATAAACATTAATTTCATTCACTAATAACTAAAAAATGTAGTTCAAGTTGCACAGTAACATGAAGACAACAAGTTGACGTTAGCTTGCAAGACTAAATTCTAGTGCAAGTTCTAAAGCACCATAAAGTACCATGAAGACTGCAGATTATGGAGAAGATTAAAGATTAAAAAAGCCAACTTCAAAACCCAATAAAACTGGCGGAAAACGAAATCAATACATATCTTAAGAGAAATCAAATTTCATAGTGCGAAATTAACCTCAATTTTTTTCCTTTAAGAGTATTTATCATTACCGGTTATATTCGCTCTGTTGGCTTATCAGTCTAGACAAATAGGCCAGTTGGCGATGGAAATACAGATGAGTCTCACCCAGATTTTTGAAGCACACGTTTGCTGGCAGAAGTGGAACTTCAGCATCGGCGCTCCGAATAGAGCACCAACCCACTGGGCCACCCTTCCTTCCTTCGCTTTGCTGTGACACTGTCGCCCGAGAGGGAGGTGTGCCGACGGATTCAAATTCAATTCTCGATTCTCTATAACAGTTATCTTGCCGGTGAGCCACAGAATGCACCTAATCATAACTATTAGCAAAAAAACTATACGATTTATATTAAAATAAAATGAAGAAACAATGGAAATATCAATCCGTGATGCACTTTGTTCATAATCAAACATTTTTTTTCAGTTTCTCCGCCAATAGAAAATCATTAATCCAAACGCTTTTAAATAAAAAAAGAAAAATATTCCATAAAACGCTTATACATAAAATGCTTACAAATCCATATTTATATTGATAAAACCCTTTTTTATCACCTGTGGGTGGTATAGGTCATCCCCGAACAATTCCAGAAACCTGGGAATCTGAGCATTCTGCACGGTATCTTAGCTGTGCAGTGCGCTCATCTGGAAAGAAATCTCTGATCTTCTGGAACTGTTTCTGGATTCTGTTGGAGCCACTTTTCTGGTTTGATAGTCACAGCCTTCAATGCTTTTACCAGCACTGAGACTATTTTAGCCTTCACTGTCCACACATTCTTCAATTCTTATTTCAAGTCCTCGTATTTGTTTTATTCCATCTTCTTTATCTTGTTCTTTTCATACATATACAGAGCGAGACAGTGACATTTATCTAATGTGGAAAGTGTACACGAATCCACAGCAAGGACAATAGGATGTTCTTTGGACTGGAGAAGAGTGGTCGACTGGTGATAAAAAGAGAGAAAGTAGTTAAGGTTGATGAGATGGAATTGCCAGCAGGACAAATAGCAGACAAAGAGATTAGAGGCAGTCATAAGATGACTGCTGGGATATAGAATGGTTCAGTGGGTTGTTGCTAACTCGAACCGCCGATGCTAAGGTTCTACTCTCGCATGAATAAACCTTTAAAAATGCGAGTGATGCTAGCGACTCACCTAGATTTCTACCGTTAAGGGACTTCTTAACATATTTGTCTATTGCTATAAGCCAGCAGAGCAAGTCTAACCAGAAATAGTAAGGGCTTTTAAAAAAAATTTATGATCAAAATTGTAAGTTATTAAAGAAAATTAAATTAAAAAATCCAAGCCATAAACATGTACTGAAAGTCACCAGATGTACAGCTGGCATGAAATGGAAACAAAGAGGTTGTGAAGATCCAGAAACTCCCTACAATGCACGGAAATTTCCACCACAAATTTAATACCCAAAGAAAATAGACCGGAAAGAAGGTAGGTGATCTTGGCGAGTGATGAGTGAAGTTTTGAAAGAAACCCAAAACATTCAGGAATGCATCAGCAAGATGGCAACAAGCAATGAGTTGCTGATCCAAAGCATCAAAGAAATTGCCGAGAGACCACGCAGTTGAAGTATAACGATAAAGCAAGATTCTCCATGGGATGTACCATCGAAAGTTAATCTATTTATTGAAAACCTATATATTTTCCAAGAAGATTTTTCACGATAATGCACTGAAGAATGAGCAAAGTTTCAAAAAATACCACTGATTTTTTCGACTAAGCATGCATCGTTCTTTTCCACATTCTTTCGTCGAATTTTACCCAGCTCAAAGATGCAATAACAAAAGTCCTTAGGTCACTTCGAGGATAGCTGCTCAAAGCGGCACAGCTTTTTAAAGAAATATTTTCTCAATTGATTTTGCGTGTTTCTCCTATATATACAGCCGTCGACTCGCCTAAATGCAAGCAGTTTTAACCTATTCTTCTGTGATAATATCTCCCTTTGAGTTCCACCAGTTAATTTGCACGAGTTTCTTCTTCAACGTAGAAGTTGATAATAACAATTCATTTTGCATGTTTGTTTTTGCATATGATCTAATTTTCACTCACTATTTACTTTAAAATGCACCGTGTTTTCATTGCATTTTTACGACGAATCCTGCAAATACGATCCACTCAATTTTTTCAGCGAAAAATGTGCATTTACCACAAATCGTAGCAATTCGTACATCCAAGCTTTATTAAATACTCGTTGGCAGTGATTTGCCTTATTTTTAGTATCTCTGATCTATGCCATACAACGCACGCTAATTTCTATTATTTTATTTCTATTATTATCGTTCAAGTCATCACGAGTGGCAGAGATAGTGCTTAGCTTAGATAGGCGAAGAACTCTTTCAGAAGAATTGCTCTACTTCAAAACGCGAATTCCAATGGGAGACGAATGGCATTTTAGCCTTTCCAGCAATAGTAAGCGTCTTTTGTCGTAAAAATATTCGTTTTTTTCCATCTTCAAAAGGAAATACGATTGCCGAATCAATAAACTCTAAATAATTTTCTCCTAAATTACGTTGGAACTTTTTTTTACAAAATTCTTCTATAAAATATTTTTTCCAAACATTGTTCCACACATTCTGATTACAACTGTTGAAAATCATCGGATAACTTTTACAACAGTTTCATGGAAGAAAAATAAATGCGTTTCGTTGTAAATTTCAAAGCGCAACAAACATCGAAAGATAGTTTATAAACGATTTACAATTAAAAGTAAAGTACAAAGCAAAAATTAAAAGTACAAACTATGCTTTGAAATTATAATAACTATTATAAGTTAAATTAATTTACTTATAGAAGAAGCACTGAGACGAAAAGTTCGCTTCAAACAAAGTCTGAATATAAGCATACATATGTCAATATATATAAAAACTCAGAAAATTTAATAAAGCAGCAATTAAAAAAGAGGCTACCACCAACAATGTTTCGTCAAACCAATATGCAATTTTGACGGAAAAGAGCAACGCAATTTTGCTGTACTTTGTGTTACAAAAATATATTCGATAAATGCCAGTTTTGCAATTTTCTCTACAGAATCTTCGAAAATTACCTTTAAATCGATAGAAAATTTCGAGCTCCCGGCAATTAATGAATAAAAACTTTTTCTTATTGCTATTTCTATTTTCTTATTGCTATAACTATTTCGGTCAAAATAAATTAGTGGCTGGAATTTCTCAATTCTGGATAGGCCCGCTTCGGTGGCTGTTAGTACCATTAAAAATTTTTGCCAGGGAGATTCACATCACGGTGAAAATAGAGATGCAACATCAAGATTTTTAAGGACAGGTTCATTTCTGCCAAAGGCAGGATCCTTGATACTTGAAACGATAATCTAAGCAAAAGCTTCTATTATTTAGTAGCGCACACTGGACACTACAAATTCGTACCTTTTTTGCAGATTTCATTAGATGGGACTACACAAAATACTCATTTGAACTAAAAAAAATTTTATTGTAAAAATTTTACAATTAAGTTAATCAAATCTCCCTTCCAATATTTTCATTTGCGAGCCATAAAGCGACGATAAGCCGACTTTAATGACGGCACAAAAAGATAGAATGTAAACAAATGTGGACCAATCGTTATTAATATTTGAGTACTCCGATTGTGCAATGCGATTCATTCGGAGAAATGTATTTTGCCGACCAAATGCATACGCAGTTATTGCAAAATGAATCCGAGGTCGTAATTATGGTTACCTTTTACATAAAGATGGTACACTTATAAACCAAATTTTCTGATGATCAATTCCTATTAAATTGCGACTTATGTAATTTTATTCACTTAGATCTTTTTAAACATTCTAGGTAACAGATTTGCAATTCTA